CACGGACGTGACAGCGAAACAGTGACAGCGGAACTGTGACAGTCGCCGTGGCTATTGAGAGAAGCCACACCATCTGACTCTCGTGCACAGAGGCGGCTGTGTTGTTATTTTTTTTTATTCGGTGGGCGGGGGTTTGGGTGGCGTTCTCAAAAGGCTGACGGTAACTTTTCTCGGGCATCAGAAAGGGGTCGCCGTGACAACGCTCCGCTAATCACATCGATGCGACAGCCACGGGCCCCCCCTCGTCCGTTCGCGGAGCGGGGCTGCCGGGCCCGTTTCGCACCACACCGCCGGTGGCACCTCGGGGTGGGGGTGGCAAGTGAGGCTCTTGGACCACACGGAAACGCCGCGAAACGCAGCACGCGACGCCTTATGGTTGTTATTGTTTCACTTGCATCCCACTGGGAATTTTTTTTTTGCACACAGCATTGATATACGGTGCTTTTTTTCTGGAAGACTTTGCTGTTGTTGTTTTTTACTGGATTTTTTTCTGTTGCGCGTAGTCACTTCAGGATGTTTCTTGCTCACGATTTTTGTTTGTTTGTTGCGGTTGCGAATGGCTCACAGGGCTATACCTATTACTGGTAGGAACCTCCTGGTTACACCAACCCACAGGGGATTATTGTGGCCGTCCGTCCGTCGTGCATCCAAAAATGGGAGGGGTGGGGCTGGGTGGAGAGGGGAGGGTGGGGAGGGGAGGGTGGGGATGGGAGGGTGGGGAGGGGCTGAGTGGGGAGGGTGGGGAGGGGCTGGGTGGGGAGTGGGAGGGGTGGGGGCTGGGTGGGGAGGGGCTGGGTGGGGAGTGGGAGGGGTGGGGGCTGGGTGGGGAGGGGCTGGTCACCCCGTGGTGCCCTTATAAAACTCAACGTTTAACCTACTCACGCCGGCTTGTGCCCGCCCTCACAGTCGGGCATATTGTGCGGAATACACCACGTGGTGCCGCCGTTGACCCTGGCCATTGACCGAGCAACCCAACGTTCCTACCAGCTCCCTCCGCAGGAATGTGTTGTATAAAAGGCAAAATTGTGAATGTGTGTCCCGACATGCAACAAACTTGAAATTTGCCATGTGGGTACTTTCCAGACTGTACACCATGCAAAAATTAGAAAAATACACTTTTTTTTGGAGGGGGGGGGGAAGCTCAATAATGCATATTTTCTTTGCACGGCAAGTGAGCTGTGACGTCAAATCTGTCATGTGACCCGCGCATGTGGAAGCGTAACGCATTGTAGTGTAGTGGTTAGCGCGCTGTGTGTGTGTCTGTGTGTGGAAGCGTAACGCATTGTAGTGTAGTGGTGAGCGCGCTGTGTGTGTGTCTGTGTGTGTGTCTGTGTGTGTCTGTCTGTATGTCTGTCTGTGTGTCTGTGTGTGTGTCTGTGTGTGTGGAAGCGTAACGCATTGTAGTGTAGTGGTGAGCGCGCTGCGCTACGAACCCGGCGACCCGAGTTCGATTCCCGCTCACGGCCACCACCGGTAACGAATATTTCAACCGCTCCTGGGCCTCCCCTAGGTCGACTCAGCATCAAACGAGTAACTGCTCTGCTGTGTGAACATCGCCACTGGGGAGACAAAGGTGGCCGCGCGTGATGAATCCAAGTCCCGAGGCGAAGCCGGCTAGTACAGCTAGTGCCTAATAAATGAACTGAACCCGCCGCTTTGGCTTTGCATGCCGCCACGCGCAGATCGACTCCCAGCAACCAGTCGTCACTCGCCCTTGGCCCAGTTCGTCTCAGCCACCAGAGCTACCGAGTGCCTAAAGTCAGAGGAGAGCGCGATTTTTTAAGTTTCATCTCGCGGATTTGCTTCGCGTGTGTGAATCTTAAAGTTGTGACACCTTTAGGGGCCGTCCATAAATGACGTCACGCACCTAGGGTGGGGCGGGCGGGCTCAGACATTTGTGACGATGTGTGATGAAGGGAGAGGGGGGGGGGGTTAGAAATGTGACGTCACATCAAAATGCGCAACTTTAAATATAGGCCACACGTTCTACTTAATTAAATTGACTTTTTAATGTTTTCTCCTACAACATCAGAGTGCAGCGCCACATTAGATACTCACTACAATGACAATAGTTTAAAGAGATTTGAAGCATGTTTTTTTTTGGGGGGGGGGGCTGAGCTTTGTGACGTCATATTTAAGGGGTCTGACTTTGTGACGAAGGGGGGGGGGGTCAAAAATCGTCCAAAATCGCGTGACGTCATTTATGGACGGCCCCTTAGTCATCGAACAAAGACGGTCACCGCATAGCGCGCTTACACATGCGCTTCTGCGGCCGTCTGGCGCGCTCTTCCATCTGATATTAAGAAACCACTGGGAGTTATGGGGCCATACATTTGGTAGGTACGCAAAAATCTGCCAAAAGTTGACCCACTTCCCCCCTCCCTGTACGCACGCGGACTTTCTACACCCCCCCCCCCCCACCTGCGTATGTACAGCCTGACGCACCCCCCCCCCCCCCCGCGAATTCTATAGAACGGCCGATATTTAATCCACGCAGAAACGATCAAGGATTCATAATATTAACGTGTTTAAGCAAACATAGTCCACCGACGGACTATCTAACTCATTTGAAGGCCAATGTAGACAAATTATTATCGAGGCTTCACTTCCCCCCCCCCCCCCGTTTCCTATGCGTACATTGTCAGTAGCCCCCCATACGCAAGCGTACGCTTTTAGGTTAACCCCCCCCCCCTTCCCCCTCCATGCGTACGGACTAAATGGATGGCCCCCTCTGCACTTTTAAACCTAGTTTGCAAACTCATTTCTTTAGAACTACTTTTTGTGTTTAGCGTGTTGTCCTTTCCCCGCAACTCCGATTAGCACGGTTGGCTAATCATACATACACATTTGACCCCTCTGACCTTTGGCTCAGTGTGCAGCCCTTGGGAGTCCTTTGTCAGCTGCGCTCCGTGTCACCCCAAGTACGTCACACGCAGCTTCGAGATTACAATTATTTATGGGACGTCACGTAAATTAAGGCGTTACAATGACGCATTTGCGCAAAACAAGTTAAGGTCACTGCCGCAATGCTTCGTTTTTTGTTGTGCCAGTGGAATTTAAATGTCTTCCAAGATGTGACGGAACACAGTAAAACAAATTCCTCCGTGTCATGCTGAGAGACTGCTATCTTTGCAGTTCGCACAATGCACGCAGCTTTGTAAAGATAAAGCAAATGTCAATAACGTCTCATCTTATTTTATTAACCATATGCAATACCTTCCATATCACAAGATGTACGGTTTGAAGTCTTGACGGGAACGTATGATTTTTATCAACCTGTAAAGTAATGTTGCCCGATTAACACCAGCCAAATGTTTAACTTGCAAAAATATTGGGAGGGACCACTGATAATTCGCTCCATGCATTATATTTTATTGATTATAGCTTCAACACAATAAAACCAAGTGTAACACACAGTACGCAGTTAAAAGACCGACATTTTCCGTACTTTTTATATTTATAATGGGAGTTTAAATAACGGTGCAGAAATGTATAATTATTATAAGTTTGTATTGCAACAAGATCGGGTGGTGCAGTGGTTAAGGCACTGCACTATGAACCGTTAATTCGAGATTCATAGCCACAGCTGAAATCAGTGGCTCCTGACTCACCCACCCCCCAAATAAACCCACACGGTCCAACATAGTGCTTTGCTGTAATACAAAAACCCGCGACGGATATTTGATGGGGAGGCCTCCTCCATCCAGCAGCGGATTGACAAAGGGCCGTATGTTTCTCATTTTAAAGTTGCACTTAACTGTAGATTCGCTTCTATACATTACATAGTGGAACTAAAAGTGCACGTTATACACTATACAAGTTTCGCGGTAGAGCATTTGGTGGATCGCTTTCTGGATTGAGTTCTTCTATCAGCTTGGATGACCATGGATGCTTGGTGCAGTCATCTCTTCTGGTGATTCAAGGGCTGTTTAGTCAGTGCAAAACACGAGGCAAGCAATGGTTCACACCTCTAGCGATAGCATGAAATGTCACGATCCGGAGTGACAATTTAATTCACTAATCAAATGTATTGATTTTCCTATTCAGTTTTGTCTATACCAATAATATGTAACATTAACAAATCTTACTCGCAAGACTCGATTAATATATCATGAACGTTAAGAATCTAATAAATTAATCAAAGCATGGTCACATGCCTACAAAACGGCCAGTGTCACGTCGCGTTATTGATGGACAGTGCATGCTGACAATTATATGCATATTATAAAGTTAAACTTTCACTCTATCCCTAAGTTATTATTACCAAGATTTCAAAGCCGCAGCATATTTAAGTGGTGTTCACTTGTATGTTGATGACATATTTGTAAAGAGAATCCATGCCTCGAGTCACTCAAAGCAAAACATGTTTAACGTCACAACAAAACAAACGATAAACTAATGCTACAATAGAGAGTGTGAACAGTTCAGTAAAAAAAAGCATTATCTTGGAGTATATTTTTTCCCCTCCCAAAGAACTGTCAAAACGGTTCAGGCCCTTGCAAAACAATAGGCTATTGCACTGAGGTCCATGACCAACAATGACCATTCTCAGCATCTTTCTCCACGGGTTAAACATAAAAGAAACAGTAAACGTTTGCTATGGGCGTCACATTGGTGGAAGGCCAATCAAGAGACAAGGCATACAGTGGGAGTAATGGGGGCCATGGCGTGTGCTGGTGTACAACTTTAATCGTGAACAATGACGATGGTACAATTTTCTTTTTTTCCAAAATTATTTTTCAAAATAGCAAAATGAAAAAAAACACGATAACTCCATTTTCAGAGCATCCAAAAACACAAACTTAGTATCTACACAACCTTGTCCTGTATTCTTAGCTCTTTCGGTAAAGTCACGTTGAAGGGAAACAATAAAATATATCTAAAATATATATAAAACTATAAAAATTCTCACGACGTTTCGACCATAACACAAACGGTCATCACACCTGATGATGACCGTTTGTGTTATGGTCGAAACGTCGTGAGAATTTTTATTGTTTTATATATATTTTATTATTTTATTGTTTCCCTTCAACGTGACTTTGCCGAAAGAGCTAAGAATATGAATTACTGCAGTCACGAAAGCAATTAAATCAAAATGTAACCTTGTCCTGCTTACGAATATGCTGTTGGAAAACGTTGGTCTCGAAGGCCCATAGGGTGACAGACCAACATTTGATTTTACATTGGGGAACCAGACCCATGTCTATTATTTATTACCAACTAGCTTTACAACCCGGCTTCGCCCGAGACTTGGATTCTTGTCAATAACTCACGACAACAACACATATTCTGTACAACATTTCTGTACTATGCTTAATAGGCTTCACGGTGTTTGTGTAGCACTCTTGTTTGCAAAAAAAAAGCATCTCAGCAGCATTTAATGGGCCACACCCTACTTATGAAATTCAAAGTTAAAATCAGTCTAAAGTTTGCCTTAGTAAAGACATGCTGCTGGAAAATACTGTTCTAGAATGCCCATAGGACGATAGAGTAAAATTATTTTAATTATATTCTGAAACAGACCCTTTTATGCTTATCTGAATATTTTCAGCTCATCAAGAATAATTTCAAAAACTTTTGAGTGTCTCTGCGAATGGCTCGCGATTAACCACACAAACTACGCAAAAAGAATGACCAAGTGCGACTTGGTAATTTCCTGTTCATGTCCATTTTCTGTTCCGGGAAAGGGGAAGGTGCTGCAATAAATGATTGTCGCGCACAAAGTGTGCTCAACATCCACATTTTCAATGTTCTCCGAGACGTTTGTTATGTTGAGTTCTCTATAATTGTAAGTTTTTGCTTACCTGAAAGGGTTACATTTAGAGGTGTACATAACATTGCTATCAATTGTTAGCGGCAGGTAAACAATATAAAAAAATACTTTTCGTACCATTTACAGATAAAACACATTTCAAGTAAATAAATAAATTAAATACAAGCCATTTCAATGTATACCAATCAAACTTCCTCATCAGTTCACCTTATTACAGCGCCCTCCCCTCAGCACATTCAGGGGTCAGAGGTTAAATGGATGGCTTCGTGGAACAGGGGGTCTGCATACACACTCGCTCCAGATTCTTGCTCATCTGTGTGACCTCCCCAGGACGCTGCAGAGTTGCCCGGCTGGTTGGGACGGCCGGAAAAATACGAGAAGAAGGAGGACATGGCGTTGGTGGCGCCGCTCAACACCCCACCCACCACGGACTGGCCTGTCGACACACAGAGAGACGGTTTCTTGTGAGGCTCTTGGTGACGCACTCAAGTGCAAGCAATTAACTTACTGCAGCAGACCATCTATCAGCAACACTTCAGTCAACCACACCCACGAGCAACCGCACGAAGGTGCCGGTGAATTTCTGCTTCATAGCATACTCACTTACAGCTCGGTGAATAGGAGATCAGCGTGTTCCTTCCAATCTTCCCAATTGCTCTGCCACCCTCCCTCCAGCTTTCTCTCTCAAGACTTCCTTTTCACCCTGCTAAACTCCAACTGTTTTCCATGAACAGTGTGAATTGTTTTTAATAATGTTCAAATAACATAGTTTCTTACCCTCACTAGTTTGTTACCCTCCTCCCCACTACCAGTCAGTGCAGTTAATCTGGAGAATATGATGGAAAAATCGAGAAAATGTGCTATCATTGACAAATGCTGCCAACATTTCAGGAAATGGCCATTTTTGCAGGAAAGAATATAAATCAGTATAATACAACAGATTTCACCAAAAAGTTTGAAAGAAAGACTTTCTCTTTGGATCGAATTACAAAGTGCAATGTTTCAGAAATAAATCCATTGGTTATACAGCCGTTCAAATTGGTTTATTTCCCTTTATGTAACACAAGCTAATAGTCTTTCTTCAGAGCTGAAACGGGACGCAGAAGGAACAAGAGTGTAGCTTGCCAACTGGAGACCATCCTTGTACAGCCTTACCGACAGCCTTCCCCGTCTGCAGGACCGAGCGGCTAGTTGACAGCACGGCCGTGCCAATCCGCCGACCGCGTTCGCTGCTTTGCACAGAGCTGTGAGATACACACACACACACACACGAGACAAAGATCCTCCACATAGCCTTGAAAGAGACTTATGTGGCAAGTGCTGCAAGTGAGTACCTACGAAGGCCAGCACGGCACACTGGGTGGTAGATGGCTAACACCACGCCCGGCCACTTTTATCTCTCCAGTGCGGATGTTTTTACACACCGCACCAGCAATAATCATCGCTGGTGTCGGTCATAAGCGGAAACGAACTCACGTCGCCGGGTTCGTAGACAGTGCGCTGCTATACTATCGTACAAACACAGACGCGCATACACATCCTATCCTTGCTGCGTGCACACAGATATCCCTTGGCAAACTAACAAAAAGAGGCTAAGCAGTCACCACCCACTCTATATATCCTTGCTTCATTGGAAAGAGAACATGCAATGAAAATGTCAACATTTATGCATATCTAATCCCTCACTTCTATTTTATTTTTATTGTATGGGGTTTTTTTACACGTACTTTGATAAAGGTTTGTATTACTTACTATGTTAGTCGCAATTTGACGTCAGCCACTGTGTAGTGACCCTGGAAAGGGTGTCTGAAAGTGAAGGACAAGGTGAAGACAGAACATTGGCAAAGTCGGACAAAAATGCCCATCATATATCCAATTAATTCACTTACTTTTCCATCATTGCAAACAGTAATGTTTAATATGTAGAAGGCATTTATTTATCCATACAGAAGGAATCAGTCCATGTATTACAAATGTTAAATATATCAGTGCTCATATAAATATTTCTAGGAGCGGTTTAGTATGCATAATGCAGCCAAGAACTCAGTTAAACAATGTCTAATTTTAAAGAGGACACCTCCTTAGCTACAGTCCTCCTCATTGACAACTGGGACACCAAGCAATAGCATAGAGAGAGCAGTGCACCCAACTTAACTTTAACAGTGCTTATATCTCTCTCTACATACATAGCTATACTGTGCCGATCCTCGGCATTAATACAATCCATGTACACTTCCATTAATCACATTATATCACACTGGGGAAAGGGCTTACTCTGACCCACAAAATGGCTACATGTTAGCACAGCGAGTGACTCAAGCACAGAGCCGATTAATACAGCAGCGGATTGCCAATGCGACTGCACGTGTGGCAGGGGGACCCACCCTGGCTGCACGTCACGCATGGCCGGGTGCTTGTTGCTGCTCCACACGCGGTGGTTGTGCGTATCCTGCCACGCCTCCACGAACTCGCTGCCGTAGTCTGCCAGCATCGCCTCGTTGTCTGCGGCATCACACGCAGTGCAAATGCGCGACAGTTATTGCCGTGTGTCTGCCTGACTGTGCGCTGTAAGCAGATGCTAGACTGAATCTTTCCTGTTGGCAGTGACCAGGTGGCTCAGGGGCTAATACCGTGTCCTTGTACTGCTGAGATGCTGGATTCCCATGTTATCAAAAACGGAATGAAAACACGTTAAATTAGCTTTTCCCTTAATTTGTCTAATTACAGGTCTAAGAATTATTCATTCTGGTTCTATTGATTTTTGCACACCACTCTTTGTAAGGTGATATAAAAAGTGCACAGCTAAAGGAGCTTCAGTAGTATTAATGTCATCTTCCAGGCCTCTCATCTGATTTATCGCACTGTTATCTCACTGCAAGCTGTGAGTGTTCTCAGGTAAAATATCAGCTTATTATGGCATGGCAGTGATAGCACCATTGGATTATGAATGCAAAAACATTAAGAGTCCTTCCTTCAATAAGATACCAAGTTAACAAGGTTAACCACAAGCTTTTCATATTGATACTCATGGCATCACCTCAATCTAACTGGATATCAATGCATGTCCGACCAGGCTTAGTGGTAGGCATCTTAAAGCTGTGCATCAAAATACATTGTTGTACTGTACTTTTATGCTCTTACATGTACACTACCCACTTTCACTGGCTCACACTCGCCAGCATGTTGAGGTGTGGTGTAATAACCAACACGACCCACACAACATGGGGAAACCCTCATCGACCAGTAGACAAAAAGGCCGTAAACGTATACAGCAACCGAGTTGACGGAATAGGGTTGTGTATGGCGCTGAATAACTACTCATCCCACACAGTCCTGTTGGCTTGGTTGGCATGGGCCCTGGTTCAAGGCATGGAATGTGATCATCTGTCCAAGTTCCACTCTTTTCGTAGCCGGAAATCTGGGCCCTGGTGCAATCACACCACAGCCACGTTCGATCGCGATGCCACTAACCCGGCAGCTGTGTGGTGGCGAGCAGCGACATCAGGTAGAGGCGGAAGTGGGCGCGAACCCACTCCTCGCTGCCCTCCCACTCCGCACTGACCCCCCCGTCACTGTCGGAGGCCCCGCTCGCCCCGTTCTCTCGCACCTGCCGCTCCAGGAGTGCCAGGAAGCGCAGGTCTGCTGTCGTGGGGCTCAGAGCACGTTCCAGAGCAGCGTCCTGGAACTCCAGGTGAGCCTTCTCTATCTGGGAAAAGCATACCGAACAAACACTGCATGTAGCACTTTTTGTTTTCATCTTAGATTGACACTGTGTTTGATCTGGTTAAACTGAAATACAGAAATAAAACATTATTACAATCATATCATCATGACTGTTAAGAAGTGTGGGGCTGGGCAGGACATGTCCCCTAGAATGGATGCTTAAGAACAATGGCAGTGGCTGCAAAGAGAGGGAATGTTCCCCAGAGTAAATCCACCAGAGATGGAGCGATTGAAGCAACTCATGTACAGGTGCTATGTGGTTTGTTGCATCACTTGATGATGAGATGGTATCAACATGGCAAGTTCTTTATCCAGCAGTTCAAGGCTGATGATAGGAAAATCGAAATTTGATCTCTCACTAAGGAGGTGGAGTGATGGCATTAGCATATGTACAGAAGATGGAGTGTGGCATTGTATGACTGTAAGGGATGGCGATAGTATGGGAAGGCCTCTATGAAGTAATGGATAGTTCAAGGCCGATGATGAGTAAAATTATCTTGTTAAAAGGATGAGGTCAATGTTTCAGTCACTTAGCCTTCTGTCTTCTAGCCTCGATAAATTGCATCATTTTAATTATTTCAATAAAAACAAACACCCAAAAGCATACAAATCATACATTTCTCATCAATAAAATATGAACATCTGTAAAAAGTTGAAGATCTTTATTTTACCACAATTTTATCGCAATATTTTTAGTGAAATTGTCAAGACATTTTTTTAGTGAAATTGTCAAAAGACAATTGAAAGACCATTTAATCACAGAAAGCTTGATGGATTTCCAACCCAGGGTCTCATTAGTTCCACCTCAGCGCGCTCACCTCCAAGGCAGGTGGATGCTTCAATGATTTGTATTTCTCAGTGGATTCAGTCATGACTCACATCTACTGTGACGTCGGTGAGGTGTTTCTGTCGGCGGAAGAGGTAGTTAGTGGCTCCAACCACGAATCCTCGAAGAGAGACATCACTCAGCAGGGAGTGCTGCTGCAGGGAGAGGTAGGGCAAGCACGCGTAGCCCTGCATGTAGGCACAAGGACAGGACACTAAATAAACTGTCCCTGCCTTCCCACACACCACCTTCTTCATTGTTGCAACATCTGTAATGCACACAGACCCCTCTACAGTATATCCATTACTTTTTTAAAATTGAAATTCAATCATCCGCCCTTTTAAAAAAGTGTCAGGGTTATAAAAAGTTAATTGTGACGGGTTTCTTTTTTCATTCCTGTTGCTATATGCATCTGTATCATTCCATTTCTACTGTAATGTGGCCTGATGCTTACCTTACTTAGGGCAATATTGGCACAAACTAAATACTTATTGAGTGAATACCATTTTGGCAAAAATGTCTAAGTGATAATAATCTCTGCAGTGACTCTAACCTGAGCTACTCACAACGCCACAAAATTGTGAAAATTACTTTAAGATTTTTGCTCCCCGATGCTTATGCCAACTATGTTATCAGTCATGTTATGAGCTGATATGAATTTGGAATGCTCGGAAAGCAATACGTACCTTGTGTGTTATGGAACAGCCCACACATAATTTTATAGAACTCCTTCTGATATCATTACAATGGACATTTTTTGCCACACATTAGAGGGGGATGCACTTTCCCGCATTGCCTACTGTTGACAATTGTTTGTCAGGTGACATCTTTTTGTTGATTCTGAAAGTTGGAATTTAGCCACATCAAGTGAAAAACATTTAAATGTGATAATTTTTATGGCGTCATGAATGATAGTGCTGAGAACATAAACTCAGCAGGGAGTTCTTGGAACCTTGACAGGACATAAACACTGTGTGTGGAGCAGCAACAAGCGTTCAGCCATGCTCAATGTGCAGCCAGGATAAGTGAGCTGCTTTAATCACAGGTGGCTATCTGGATTGGCTTAGTGCCCTGACATCTGAGTCACCTGGCCATCTTAATTGTTATTTGTTACGATTATTATTCTTGAGCCATTCACTGCCCAGTAAGTTCGCACCTTGGTAAATACGGCAAGCGGCATGCCATATTGGTCCTCATCCAGGCCCGAGAGGAGACCCTTGGTGACCCGGGCAGTCGGGTCACCGGAGGCATGCAGAGGCTGCACCACCACTGGGGCTCCATCGCCCATCGACAATTTCCGGACCAGACCCTTGGTTGTAACTGCCCGGGCCTCTTCTGTATCATCCGCTCTGCCCACCTCCACATTAACCCCATTCCCTTCCGAGTCCAACGGAAATGATGCACATGCCCTCTCAGAGGGCCCTGTCCTCCTTGGCTCGGTGTTTGGCGCTACTTGTTCGCTGTAGCTTTGTGCTTGAGTCGAATGAAAAGAGTTTGTGAAGGTGGACGTGAAAAGAAATGCCGATTCCAGAAAGTCGGCTTCGTCCATAGAATCCTTCCTTCTGTAGGACACCGAGTCCACAAAGCCGCGTTCTATCATTCCTGAATAACATAGGGGGGACGTAAAACAAAAAGCACATGCTTTCATCTTGATTGTGATTATATAAGCGTTTATTTGAATTGAACTCCAGACTTGAATGTATAAAGCATAAGTCACGTGCAGTTTTCACGAACCTGGAAAAAGGGAGAGTAGTGCCATTATTGTTCCAACCAATGTGTGGACGGGTGCAATGAAAAATAACACCTGCAACACATTGAATGATGCATCCATTTTCAAATATAGCCTTAAAAATTAGTTAAACATGTCCACTCAATTGTTTCCATTTCTCTGTTAATGTTATGATTTAATTTCCAACTCAGAAAAAATATTTTATTTGTCCACTAAATTAAAATAAGAAATTTAGTTTTCAACATCCAAGATATGCACCAACTGATTCCCAATATGAGGCTTGTGATTTACAATGTGGTTTCATATCTTACCCTCTTTTCCAGCAGAATTAATTTGAAGAGCATAAGTGCCTGTAAAAGACAAAAAAACTAATTAATCAGTAATTGCACTGCTTGTTATAATGCACACAACACAATCCATGCACAACAATAGAGCTCTCCAAAATCAAATGGTAGTGCCTCTTAAAATGAATATAATTCTGAATTATTGAATGTTTTTTTCATTTGTCAGACACTCGTAATGGAGAAACATCAACAAATGTAGCGGGCCACTCCGTCTTCCAATAAGTGTCAAAGGTGAATGTAAACACCTTGTACTTAAACATATACATTTTCAACAATGCTTTACAAATGGCCAAAGTGGAAGTATTTTTTCGAGTTCAGCAGATTTAACGTCAGATTACGCTCATAATTGGTTACAAAATAATTGGCGTTGCCATCTCATTAAAGGCTCTCAGGCAGAATCTCTCGCGGCTACATTTTGTTTGTACGCATGCCTGCCACAACTCACTGGAGATATCATTCAGCAATGTGGTATGTTTTAATGTCGCTTTTAATACCTTGTGTCCAAAATGCAGAAGCAGCTCTCTGACGGATAAGCCTGCCAACACACGAGGCACAAAGCATCAGCTTGGCAATGGTACATTCCAGGTGATATCCATCACGTACAGTTACTACAAATGCTCCACCTTCAGTCGGGTAAATTTCCAGGAGTGTAATATTTAAGTATTCTTAATAAAGCCAATGGTGATTATTTTATGGCAACACTGTTAATTTCATGTAGTGGTGCATTGCTGACCCCAAGTAAATAAAGACTTGCAGGAGAAAATGAAGAAATCAACATAGCGATTAAAAAGGCTCACGTATAAAAATCTGGCATCAGTAGAATACACTTATTATGCTGAATTAGAGTTTCATCAGTCTTGCTTGCAATGTGTGGTATATATTTAGATGTGTATTATATACACCCAAATAAAAACAATGGGTACACTAACTGACAACATTAAAGCTACACAAATTGTTCAAGTACCAATGTGATAATATTTAACTGCAATGGTACAACTATATTAAATTGGCTGAGGAGAAAGAGATAGATGTATGGAGGTTTTTAAAGGAATGTATTATCCACTTATCCACTAGAACTTAACTTGCATTTACCTATGTACAGATGAGAAGGTTCCAGATGATTTGTACCCAAGGTGCTATTGAGTTGTTCATACAGCTCCTGGTAAGATGAGAAATTGCATGTGTCAGACAAAATTATTAATGGGACTTGTTTCCTTTGATAACAAAAACACTACCTAATATAATACGAAGCTTGCATTGTTTAAATATTTACTTTTAAAACATCGGTTTTGGAGAAGTCTTTCTCTTGGAAGTAGACCTGAGTGATCATCTGTAGCTTGGCTTGCAACAACCCGTAAAGGGGCTACACAAAAAAACACAAGCAAAACACACAAATACAAACTTTAGAGAAAATTTCGAAAAAAGAATGCTTTTCTAAGTTAATTAAGTGGTTTATAGGCGCGTGATTGTTGTTTGTTTCATTTAGAGTGCAGGGGTGCACTTACAGCAGCCCCATAATGATTCACCCCCTTCGTGAGTTCATGCAATGCATGGTTCTGGGTTGGGATTCCATTCTGAAATCGATCTTTAACATCGTGATGCACTGCAGCATCTCTGATTGCTGCAGGGGTCACGTCAACGAATTGCACACAGCATATTACCAGCCTTGATCTACCTACTGGTGAAAGTTTATCGGAGCCATTACTATCTCTCAGTCTTGTGATACAAGTCCATTTAGCTCCTGCTCAAGATCAAATTTCACCACTCCATCCCTTCCCAGGCCATGTCTAGGCTAAGACCACTTATTTTTCTGAACGGTCAACATGATGCCTCTACTCTTCCCGGTATTTATATCTAAATCATAATTAATTTATTCTCAAATGCATGATGTTCTGCATTTATTGCGAGCATAAGAATAAATAAGAATCAATGCATCATTTACCCCTCTACCTCAGCATTCTCGGTAACTCACCAGTCGGCTGAGCACACACACGCTCTTCTGCACCGTACCACGTGTCACCTCGGAGTCGCGCACCTTGAGAGCCTGGGGAGAAAGACATCGCAGCCACGTTTCACGCTGTGCTACCATAGTCTCTTATACAGTGCTTAGACGCCAAGCATGACGTACTCGTCCTCATTTGTACAGTTTATATGCACACAGTAAAAATAACACAGCAACTCAGGTGTTGGTTAAAAGTATAAAAAAATAGCATTTGCAGCCCTTTGTCAATCCACTACCTCCCTGCACCTTTCAGTCATGGGGGTTGTTGACCACACCTCACCATACCAGTCAGTGCAGACTGGTGAAGTTAGGGGGGAACCCAGGGGTCTGAGTACAGAACGACTTGTGCAGTTCTAGAAATGTAATAAGCTAAGACTTATAAGAACAGGTTTTTCCCCTTTTTTCTGGCAACAAAACTGAAACCTTTCTACAAGGAATCATGTCTGCATTAACCACAATACTTGTGGTCAGGATGCAAACAAAAAACACATTCTGATAATATATGCATTGTCCTTGAAACTGATTGGTCCACACCAGAGACAGCATTCTTTTGAGCCTCGTCTCAAATGGTGCTAGACCAGAGGACGCCAAAAGTCATACAGCTCAAAGACAATGCACTATTAAAGTAATGAGGGCTCGGAGTAAGCATCTACTCAGGCTTGTCAACACCAATTCCATAAGAAAGTAAAGACAAAGCATTGTAAAGTTAGGAAAGAACTCGGGAGTGTTCAAAGCGTTGATTTTCAAAAACAAAGTAAACGATAATACGAAAAAAACAATTAATCAATATTAATAACACGACTGATAATATTAATACCATTATATACAAATATAATCAACAACAAAAATATATAGCTATCTCAGCCACAGACAAGCTGAAGGATATGCAGTGATGATGGCAATGTAGCATGGGTCTTCCTGGCAGGTGACTGGCTGGTGCAGTGCAAGTCATAATCTAACCCCTAGAAATCACTGCCACACTGCTGGCTTTGCCCTCTAACGTGGACAATTCCTCTAACGCAAACAATTCCTTCGAAATTGTTTGCGCTTACTGAAGCCTGCCAGGTTCTACAAGCATATTTTCTGTATCCAGGCACCAGGAATGGTTCAGATATTATCAATGAAGGTTTTTTTGAGTTCGATCGTGTGAACATAAATGTGTCGTTAAACCTGCCACCACCCGACACAGCCAATCAGTAAGGTTTGTCACGTAAAATCAAAACGTGCCAATTAGTTACTAATTAAGTACACCGGTGTGTTGGAGACTAAACCCACAACAATTACAATTCGAGTATAACGTTTCACTGGAGATTATAACCAGCTCCATCAGGCGATTAGCCATAATTGTCAAGAAGTCCTCCTGTTTCGTTCAGATATTACTCTCCACTGATGTTGACGATGGCCAGGAATAGAACGCAGATCACCGAGTTCAAAGCGCTATGCCGCCACTACATTACAAAAATGGCAAGCACAGTCACGTTGATGTTTTCAAGATAAATGTTATGGAAAGAACATGTTAAGTATAAGAATGTGCCTGTATCAGCATTTTCAACACTGGGCTTGACAACTCCACAACTGTAATCTTCGTCAAACAGAGCTTGATGCTCACATGTTAAGGCAGAATCTTTAATTTGAAACAAGAGGTGTATTAATCATAGCATACCAAAGTATATCAATGTTTGCACTGTAAATAAAATACAACAGCTAAGTAACTTACAGGTTAAATTTCGATTTAAAGCTTTCGTGACTGCAATGATTCATCTTCTTTGGTTCTTTCGGTAAAGTCACGTAGAATGAGAATAAAATAATAAATTGATAAAATAAAATTTATTATTTTATTCTCATTCTACGTGACTTTACCGAAAGAACCAAAGACGATGAACTTACAGGTTGTTCTTGCATGGTATTTTCAACGGCCTATCCAAGCACTCACCTCCGAATCCATCTGCTGGTAGCAAGACACTCCGTACACGATGCCTCTGTCCCCATCTCGTGGAGGGAGGTGGAAGTAAACACAATCTGCAGGGAAAGAAGCACACGTGCGCCAGTGTCGGCCGATCGTGGAGGCCAAGCCACAAAAATTCAGAATGAGAATCTTTATTCATCCTTGAGAAATGCGATGAGCTGTGAAGCCCTTTTTCACAGATGTCCAACAGGGGCAGGGCAGAAAGTTATAACAATACAAAAAAAAACATTGTAGTGCAAAGTACAGGAAAGGAATGCAAATCACAAAAGATTTTTATACATAAAATGGATGAATCGCAATTTGTATTAATACAGTGTCTAAATATAGCTGCATCTCAAGATGCTGTGTTAAAACATACATGTGCATCACTGGCCAAAAGAAGGTATGTGTACTTGTTTTGGCAAAATAGTCATAGGCAGAAGAGAAAAAAAAGGTATTGAGCCTGGGTTTGAACAGGGGCAGGGAGTCGAGTGTGGATGGCCGCTGGAAAGGAGTTCCTGCCACTCACAATTTTGTAACCCTGGCCTATAGAACAAGTTCATACACAAGTCTCTCTCATTCAAGTTCCTACAACAAAGCGAGTGAACACCATTTTGGAGGCATGATCGTGCCGCCCCTTGAGTATATTTAGACTCACCTTCAAGGTAGTTGTGTGCACCGTCAGGCAAGGCCAGGTAAGGCAGGTGCTGCCATTCCTCTGGCAGTGAACGGCCTCCATTATCATCTTTAATCTGAGGATGAGAAAACTCCACCTGGGAGAGGTGGCCATTTGTTATGTTTAAAACGGCTCATTCAATGACAGGGGAATAGGGCTTATTTTTTCCACTCACCGATAGGTATTAATTCATTAGTAAAAGGTTGTTATGTATCAACTGCTAAATAAACACCATTCATATATCACCTCCTATTGTCCTTCCCCCGCACCTTCGATTAGCACAAATGGCTTTGTATGGTGCAAAAGAAATTCAACATACATACATTCCTCCAAATGTCAGCTTTGCAAAGCAACACATTGTGAATGTATGTCTGCCTTTTCTCTGGTTTTAAATGGTATCTTTTTATATACACCCAGTGTATAGCTGTGGTAATGACCATAGTGGTGAATTATTTTTGCCCTTCAGAAATTGACGGTTTGACCTCACCTCTCTACTACCTCCACTTTCCAACCTTCAAAAAACGCAAACAGAATTGAAGCCTCCAAGGCACAGAGCATGTGTGGAAGGTGCAGCTGATAATGCTCGTGTTCCAATAGAGACAAAACATAACACTAACCCTTGTAAATATGTTTTCATAAAAAAAAATGTTCCACACAAGGTATTTATAAAGATTTCATTCGTGTAGGACTCATCGGCAACACACATTACTGTATGGTTTATCCTTATACGTGTTATCCCTTTATATGGGGCGTTTTTCAAATTCTCTTTAGATCCAGTGTCGCACTGTAGTCATTCTTAAAAGTTAATCAAATTTAAATAAATATCCCATTGTCGACACATGCAAAGGCAGTGCAGCTGCCACAGCAGCCTAACTTGCTTATACTGCATGCCCACTATCGATCCTGGGTAAACCCAGGATGGATCGTAGGCAGGGCAGCCTGAATGTTTTAATCCGGCGCAGGTGTTCTTTCAAAGGGCTACACGTTTCATAAGCATCGAGAAGCAAGGGTATAGCTGTGGCCAAAACATGGAACTTCGTGTGGTGCGACAGACCAGGTAGCGTCTACACCGCGTTATGCAGCTGATGAAAAGGCAATGTCGCTTGACTGATTTGGAGACATTCGCTGCCTAACCAAAGCTGGTCATCAGCACACTAATAAGGTACGGAAAATTATCCACAATTGCCCCATCACTCCTGGGGACTGGAGGGGGGGGGGGGGTGAATATTTGGGGCTGATGATGAGGTCCAATCTCTTAGTAGCAGGCTCTAGGTTCAGAAGTAGCATCTCCAACTCATTCACAGAGCAGCAATTACCAGATCATCAGCATACATAACATGACTGACCAATAGGGAGCCCATCCCTTGACCACACCCGGGCATCGATCAGCTTTCCCATTGTATCTGTACCAAATTGAAATTCCACCGTTACAGCCATGGTAAGCTTCTCGAACTACATGGTCAAATATGTTAAATAGTTTATGTACCAGAAGACATTTCTTTCGCAACACAAGCTGAACAGAAAATGGCTCTGACTCCTGGCCAATAAGCATTACCCGGGCCTGTCCACCATCTCTGAAGGTCCTTTATGATTATAAGCAGAGGGGAAGGGACTGAAAAGCATAAACAATAACCCATATCCTTGGCCTATTGATGGCAGTTGTAACCGGTTCCCCCTATTAAAAATGCGGACCACCAGGGCATCCTTAAAATCCTGCAGAACCCGTCCTGTGGACCAATCGGTTGGAATGATGTTACATAGGGCAGTCTGCACACAAACACCACCCTCCCTCAGCAGTTCACTTCAGAGGTCATCTCTGCCCGGCGCTTTACCTTGTCTCCACATGATTCCTACCACTATCATTACCAGTATCACAATCAGCATTGCCACTATCATTACCACCACTACCATCATAACCACCAACACCACAATCATTTCCACTATCACTACCAGCAGCAGCTGAACAACCAGTCAGTGTGTAAAGCCAGGTGCAATGATTACCTGCTCGCTCTTTATTTGTGGAAGCCCACCACCAGCACCATCATTGCCCCACTGCTACCATCACCTCTGGCAGCAACCACCACCGTCACCAGTGTGAGTGTGTAAAGCGATGTGCAATTATTACCTGGCAGCCTTTTTTGTGGTGGAAGCCCACCACCAGCACGGCCAAGACAGGGCCCGCGCCGCTCATGATGTCAACAAAGCTCCCCGCGCCTTCACCCCGGAAGCGCTCTCCGTGACCCCACCCCCCCACCCATGACGACAGGTCGTTGAAGATCCACGTGACTTCGTGCGTCGATGGCCATCTTACGTGGGGGTGGGGGAGGAAAGCTGCGCGCGTCATCAGCCAGGCGGTGTATGCCTGTGACGTGAGGACAAGGACACCAACAACCAATAGAATTGCGAGAAGGCCACTCGCTTCCCTACCTAAGATGGCGGCGGCGACGACGACGAGGCCGAGACAGATCGCGCGCGCCGCACGCCTACGCCGATAATTGAATTTGGGGTGTCCGTGCGTTATTTTGTCGGAAGGCGGGCTCGTAAGATTCCGAACGCTATAATTTTGTATTGCACTACTTAATATTGTTTTCGTTAAATTGAAAATTACCCACGGCTAGCTATAATTTAATACTGCAGGCAGTAACACTCCCAAGCTTAAGGAGTAGAAACCGGAGTGGCCGTATCGGCTTTCAACATGAGCACAACCAACCCATCCCAGCTGCTGCCTCTAGGTAACGAGGGGATAGTCCTGTACAATGCAGGCTTTGTTTACATTAAAACGTTGAACTCGAGCGTCTTCGCTCTGTTGTGCTGCATGATGTTACGTGTCATGCTTGCTGTATTGTGTGAAAAGGGTCGCTGGTTTGCAGTGTTTCTGATGTGGCCACGCGCGCTTTGAGTAGAGGGCCTTGCTTTTCTTCATTCATTCGCACGTGTGTTAATGGCCTTCAGGGTGCTCTTGTTGTGGATTGTGATAGGATTACACGTGTTAAAGTGTGTACATCGTTTCATTTCTTAACATTCACTGTGCCCTGTGCAATTAAGCCGTAGTGTGCATTCACTGTGTACAGTGAATGCACACTGCGGCTTAATTGTTGAACGATCGGCCTATGGCCCTTCCGGACTATGATTTAATTGCGGCATTTAAAAGAGCAGGACAATATTGTAACATGGGGACAATAACGGCATTTGTGCAACAGGTCTGACTGCTGATGAATCCCAGAATATGTCTGCGTAACTTTTTTTTATATGAACCATTAGTCTGTAAGGCCCAAATGTGAACTAGAAAAAACATGCAACGAATGACGTGTTAACGCTGAATGAGTTTTTTTTACCGGCTTAAATATTAATTGGATAGGAGCGGTAGAGAAAAATATATAGTTAACTCACTGCCCTGTGAATCTGGACATATACATTTGGCTCTACGCCGCATCGGTGGCGTGTGATGTTTGAACCAGTCCTGGGCCCCCCCGCCTTCAACCCGCACTGACCAACGTGATGGTAACAGATTTCTGAAACTTACGAGGTGGATAGCAAATTGCATTAATGTACGTACTGTTGTACCTGTAAACCTAGTGGGCACGTGAATGGCATTTTGGGGACCTTTAAGTGTTATACCCTCGTATGCAGAGGAGTTATGCGCATACATGTATTCCGGTTTCCACCCACACGCAAAATGCTCTGCAATTATCCAAACATTCGGATGCAGAACCATCCTCAAAATAATCCTGAGTATCATGGAGGTTTTTCTGGATTTTTTTTCACTGTCTTTAGACAAGCCAGTTGCAAACCGGACAGAGACCTGTTTTTTTAAGGTTTATAGAGGGTTAATATTAAATACAGTACACCCTGTACAGTTTTTTTTTTATACCAGAGCCATGCTCCAACAAATGATCCTCATGACGGTACCCCGGGGTACCAAATAATAGAAATGGCCGAGGCAATTAAATATTTTATTTCTGGGACACTTATTTTTTCCAGGGGTGTACTTCACTCCGCGACTGGGGTAACCAATCAATCCGAAATCAGTGCCACACTCCGCGATGTCGAAACGCTGAGAGGACGATTGCGCTGAAACGCTGAACGCTCGCGTACGCATCGTAGTGTACAGCTCGTCGAGATGAGTCGATTGCCGTGTCGCCGACCATCAACAGACTAAAAATTACTGCATCACGGACATTATGCGAGAGCTGGGGTACTATGGTTACCCCGGAGTACCACCATAAGGTTCAAATGTAATTGTCCTCTTAACTATTTTTGCAGAGCTGGTGGACAAGTGCATTGGATCCCGCATCCACATTGTCATGAAGAATGACAAGGAGATCGTTGGCACCTTGCTGGGTTTTGATGACTTTGTCAGTATCCTTTTTCAGCGCTGCTACAATATTTGTCGGATAGTGATAACCGAGGGAGTCTTGGTACGAAAAATCGGTTTTCCATTATTAATTTACTTGAACATTATAATTTAATTGTAATCGCTGGATGAGTAATATAATTGCGTGAATTTGTTTACGTAGTCATACCTAAGCCAAATGTAATTGTCAGTATACTGGTTAAAGCACAGGAATTGAATATGTAGTACCACACTTCCCATACTACCACACATTTCCCATACTGACTTCATTAAAATGTGTTTGGTGGAGCTGTCGGACATCATTTCCCTAACCACTGAGCTCTGCCTCACAAAATAGTTTCAGTTTTTGTGCATGACATAGCAGTGGCAATAGGAGGCTTGATGCATCTGCCTGTGTATTTGTAGTTAAGGAAACGTGGCTGCCGAATTGAAATGTTTAGCCAGCATATGATACATCCTGCATTACAGTTCGCCTTTAACACACACCTTTAAGATATGGTGCTGGAAGATGTTACGGAGTTGTAAGTATTGATATTTCACTTATTTACCACTTATTTAAATGCATATTTTCATTGCAAGAATACTTTGTTAAGAGTTTCTGAATTATCAGTTAAAATATTTTCTTCAATTTTAAAACCATGCTTTTTTAACATTTTAATTTCCATTTGTATTCTAAATTCAGTGAGACAACAACAGAAGGCAGACGAATAACTAAACTGGATCAAATTCTTCTCAATGGGAACAATATTACGATGGTGAGTATTTCAAAAAGTGCAGATGTTCTTGTGTCTCAGTCTTAAGCATAAAAATAGACCAACCACAAACATTCTGTATGTAATCCAACAAGTATTTTTGTAGAAACTAAATATGCTGCCTTTATGTTTTATATTTTAAATTCTAAACTTCCACTAGCAAAGCTATGTATAATATAAGATCTACACTATTCTTAGTTCTTTCGGTAAAGTCACGTTGAAGGGAAACAACAAAATAAAAAAAAATATATTACCGAAAGAACTAAGAATATGAATTACTGCAGTCACGAAAGCTTTAAATCAAAAGATCTACACTACTAAAAAGAGTGCAAAGGATCAAAATTAGTCATTGCGTAATTCACATGTAGTTTGTAGGCAAGATTTACATACATACTTAATTGTATTAAATTAGTGGCTGATGAATGTAATCCCACATTGTTACTCCTTTTATTTTAATTTCCAAGCTATAGAAAATTACTGTTCAAAAAATCAATGTGCAGTTTGGTGCAGGGCTCATTAAATCATAAAATATGGTCATTCCATTTATACTCAGATATGCCTCATCTATACTTGTGATTTGCAGTGAAATGATTTAATTGTTATTAAATTTCAAAATCGTGTTTTCTTCTTTGCAGTTAATTCCTGGAGGAGAGGGGCCTGAAGTCTAATGCAGAGCTCCGTTTGTGTTTGATGTTGGATAGAATGAATATACTATTTTTATTTGTGTATTACAGGTTGTGAAGGCATTTTCACATTCAATGTTACTTTCAGCCAATTATTATTGATACAAACATGATAACTACTTCAACTTGTAAAGGATGTAAAGCATATGTGTGACAATGCTGTACATTTCTTGTGTGAAGTTTGAATAAAATTTGTTACACATTGGCATACCTATGTTTAGGTTTGAGTCCTCAATCTTAAAGCTCCTTCTGATACTTTTTGTGTGGAGCAACATGTGAGCAATTTTCTTACGTCATTATGAAGACTTCAACCACAAAACAATTATAAATTTTGTGGTGCAATATTCCCTTGTTTATATTCCGATTTTCCTCCTAAAGGTGACATGAAGATAATGGTAAATAATGATGATAACTTGCCTGGTTTCACTTGTATCAACATCTGTCTCGACGGTTATTTTAAAATAGGTGTGGTTAAAAATCTCCGAACTGCACGAGTTCTATCTTCAATGCAGCTTGTTCTGACATTCTAGCAAATTATGTATGCTTGCTCTAGTGTAATTACATGAATTCACTGCGATGTAGACTTGAAACAATTTAATGGTTGAAGGAAAGCTTTTTACATGTAACAGATGACTGAATAACATCCAAAGGAATTCAATCTTGAAACCATGTTTAAAATTCCTCAGATAAATTTACATAAATAAAATGTGCTAGATTCCAAAACAGGTTTTGTGTCTCCATGAAAATAATTCCCATTTACAATGCTGGAAGGGTATAATATAAAAGTTATTGAAACAAACTACAACATTCATGGGTAGTATTTGAGATGGCATGCTTATGCCAAAACCAGTGCCCAGAATGCATCCCATGCAGCCTGTGTACACACCAGGTGGACTTTAATTAGGTCAAACCACACATAATTTAACATGCCACGCACTTCCAATATAACCTCTCCTTTCAGTGGTGAGCGGACACAGGCTACATTCAAGAGTAATCTGGATGGAACTTTGTGCGACAGACGTCATTTTTCGTTAATTTGGTATTAAGTGGACATTCCTAAGGTTAAAAATTCACCCAAGGCACCCAGACAAAAGTGAAATTTGTCGTCGGCTTGGAACGGTAAATTTCAGCCTCAAAGAGGCGGGTGATTGAAAGCAAGAAAAAAAAACCCATTTAAAGGCACAGCACACGCTATAATCGGCCGAGATGCTTTTTTTTACAGAAGCTGGAGATTCCAATGCGTGACGCCATCACGCAGACAAGTAAGGGGCACCTCCACCTACGTCACTCACGTAGGGGTGCGGGGGGTGGGGAGGGGATTCCTCCGTGCGTGTTGACATCACGGGTGGGCCCCCCGCACTGCGGTAAAAGGGTGGGAAGCGAAGCTTGTCCGCTCGTGCAAATTCACAGCTGCATTCAAGCATGTTGTTGCAGAAGCGTGCGTCGGGATGGTTTATTGTTGCTCGTGTGGAATGGAAGATCAACAACAACAAAAATTGTGAGCTTCAAAATATTAATCTGAGCTGCATACGAATTTCTACAGACGTCCCTGCACAGTATTGCACAATTAATGCGATAAAGCGTACACGTGTCTTATCATACTGGTAAGTCACGTAGGGTAATTTAATAATTGAGTATATCACGTACCATTGTTGAAGTTGAGTCATTTGAAACGACTGCTGATATTTTGGTGAATTGGATACATAGATACTTTCCAAACTGTGCATGATAATGCACATCTCGGTAATGACAGCTCTTATCGGTGTTTAAAGGGATTAACAATGCTACATTAACACGAGGTGTGGTCGCCACCCATCGGATTGTTAATTCCGCATGCAGGTGGAATATTCAAAACGCGCTTCTGTTCATTGAGCAAGCAGGCCAAAGTTCAAAATTGTGGAACCCCGAATGCAACCAGCAACCTAGACCTTATCCTCTTGCAGGATTGGCATGGCATTAAAAAAAATAGATTGTTTTGCTGGGTTGAGTAGTAGGGTGCAAGTCAGGCAGCTACAGTTCTCATGTCAGCTTGGATTCGGAGTACCCAAAGCCAGAGAATCTAATGAACTTACAAAACCACCTTAATGGGTTCCTCAGCAGTATAACGTTTGTTATAAATACATTCTTTAAGAGAGTTCTAGCTAACAAACAAAAAATCGGCCACCCTTACCAACCAGACCGCGAAACCAGACATCGCTGCGGGCACTTTTTTTTTTGTTAAAGCGATAAACCCCAAAGCAAAATCCAACCCAAAAATGTCACCCTCGCATTTTAACTTAGCCTCCTTAATATACCAATAAATATCACAAAAATGCGGGGGGGGGGGGGGGGAGTTGGTGATTTAAATATTACAACAACAAAAAACCCACCACAATCATTCCCCAATCTGGATTTCGACAGGGCCCACCAGCTGTGGCCGGGGCTAACGGGCGCCGCCTGCAGTTTGGTGCCCGCCTGTGCCAGGTGAGCCGAGCCCGCTGAGACTCCCCCCACAACACCACAATACCGGGGTGGGGGGGAGGCTGAATTGTGTTCGCGTTCATGAAATCCGTGTGGAGGTGAGTCGCAGCGTGCCGCACTTCTTCTGTCGGAACGGAGAGACGATTCTTGTCTCCGTCCGTGTGCTTTATTTTGTGTGTGTGTGTGTTCGTGAATTGGCGGATCTGGGGTGTTGGGGGAGCCCCGGTCTCGCCGTGTTCGGCCATAAGGCCTCGCTCGGACACCGCCGCCGCCACCAACCAAAGCAACCACCGCCATCGCACTTTCGCCCATTGAAAATGATCTATTCGTTAACGGCGTGCGGCCACTGGGCCCCGTGCACTTCGTAAGGATGTTGCTCGCAAACGCGGGACGCAAAACGGCGTTGTAGAATCGAGGTGGTTTCGTGCGTGTTGAGCGTGCGAGCGAGCGAGCGAGCACATGCCAAAGGCCTAGGCCGTGCGCTAGTCCCGTCGAGCACATGTTGTCCTCGCCAACTTTGTAAGTAATTTAATTTATAAATGGCCCGCGCTACTTCAAAGGTTATCGCATTTGTTCAATGTATTTTTTTTACGCATCGGATGGTATGCTCTCGAATCGTGCTGCTTACGACTGGGCGTGTCGTTCAAATCGTTGTCGTTCGTTGAGACGAGAGACCGTGAACGCTGTTTTAGTGAATTTGAAATGTGACAATTTGTGCGTGCACACTGTACGGGCGCGGTGGTTCGTGCAGCGCGCGTTGCGGTGATGTTTTGAGACACTTTCAGCTGTACTGTTGTTGCAAATTATAAGTGAGTATCGTCTCGCCATGGCTCTGGGATGTTGGGAGAAGGCAGATTTATTAACGTGAGCAATGTTCATCTGGGTTTAACTGAGCGAGGAGAATGAATGAAATGGTTTGGTGACAAAGGCCCAGGCTGCACCCAGTCAATGTCAAAGGAGCTTTTCGCCTGTGACTGTACTTTCCTCTTATTGTCACTATTATTATTTCAGGTACATAGTAATGTGATCTCACTCGTTGGTATTTAAAGTGCTTATTTAAATCGATACTTAAAATAGCACGCGTTCCAGTGTACTTATTTCAGGAATTGCAGGTGTGTGCAGTACTGTACAATAATGTACCGAATTGAAGTGTATTTGGTGCGTTGTGCAGTAATATTGCAGTGTGTGTGTAGTATATTGTAGCGATGTATTATTGTGCTGCAGTGTTATTCTCTCCGGTGGTATAATTGTGAAACTGTATTGTCCTGTGATGTCACAGGGCTATACCTAATAAATGAAACTTGAAACTTGAATGTCACGCACACGGACGGCGCTTTTTCTTAGTCAATTCACTGCTAGATGAGGGCCTTTTCTCCCCTTGCGGGCCGTGTGGGATATGTGACCATACTTCACCACCATGGTGAGTGTGGATCGGCAAAGGTGGGGGATTGCCGAATAACAAACTGTTGTGTTATGTAATGCCCTCGTGTTAATGTAGTGTCATTGTAGTGTAACTGTATACGGTTATAGTGCAGTGTACTCTGTTGTACTTGTATCATGTAATTGTGTAATAGTATATCATTTCCTCCGTTGCCCTCTACAGCACTGTGATCTTTTCTCTACAGCAGGAGGAGTGGACTAACTAAAGCAATTCTATTCTATAAGCATGTTATTATAACATTATACTTAAATGTAATGTACTGTACATTCTGCAAGGTTAATGTTATTTATTGCGTTTTTTATTTAGGAATTTGCTTTTCTTTACAAAATGCTGAAAGGAAATGTTTTTGCAGAATGTTTATTTGTGTTCACTATTTAACCATTCATACATTGGACTTTCTTTGTACGTATATATTAAGCACTTTTACATGTTTGGATATTAAAATGTCAAACGCATTGATAAAGCCAGTGATTTATCTTCATAGGTTATCAAAGCAACTAGGGGTATTTTATCACCCTTGCTTATATTCCTAACGTGCATTTTTTATTTAAACTTCTGTAATACATTTTCCTTCCCCCAATAATAATGCTGTTTTGTCGTGACCAGTTTCTACATAATTCTGCAGTGCTGTACAGGATAATCTTTTAGCGACTGTAATTTCTAACACGCACCAATCACATCATAGTACATTACACAATTATCGTATAAAACTGCACTACCGAAAGTACAGTATACAAATCCTTTAAAATGTAGAAAGTCCCTTGAGGTGGCTGGGTTTGATTAGAGGTCAAAGTTCTGAGCTAGTATTGCATTTATCATGGTGTTGCATGAAGTCAGCCCCCTGTGATTAAACCGGGTTATCAAGTGTAACTTGTTAGTCGCTAATAACTGCACAAAAATGCATCATGAAATTTGAGATTCACGTAATCTGTCATAATCCCAACTTGAATATTCAAATTCTGGATTTGGCCATTGCGTAAAAACACCAATCTCAAAGAAAACGAGTGGGAAAATGTGCCCCCTATTTATTGTATAAATATAAAACAAGTAATATGAAAACGCTTGTGCAGCTTTTGGTCAGACATACAGGATCACACTGCTTTGTGATTCAGAATGGATTCTTTATCACGTGGTATCATGATAAGATGCCATTAGGGCACTTGAAATAAAATTGGGAAACCGCCAAATAAAATATATAAGATTGAAAGCTCCAAAACTTTTAGAATATAGTTTTGATTAATAAAAGCCAAATAAACACAATTATCAGTCGTGCATACAGTACATCTGTCTTTCCTTGTAGATTGTGTATATTGCTTTTGAAAAAAGTCGAACCTCGCAGATGGTAATGCATATTGTGTTAGCTCCGTTAACTTGGTTTTATATTTTCTTCTTACCAGCATGTGATAATAATCCATTCCATTCATGTTTCAACTACCAGTGTTTGTTTTGAGTCACAATTGGTAAGGTACTGCTAATGACCTTGTTGACCTTTCCTTTGGCATTTACAGTAAATGCCCTGTGGCCACGGAAGAGGAAAGTTGTAAAGGAGATCCCATGACTTCAGACCGTGACGGTGATGCTGTGGCCAAAAATGAAATGTCCCAGGATTCTGCCTCGCTGGTATGTACAGGTTTATATCTAAATTAAACTAGATTCGAGTTATATCTAAATTGTTCTATTTGTGTTTAACCGGCATGTGTTCTTTCTCTGCAAGGAACCTGCCAACTAATGCTGGGTGATCTTTGAGGATGTTTGAATGACTAAGCCCCGTTGCCACCACACTCGTCAGAGTGCATGCACTGTAATTGTATTGTTCACTTCTCAACATAGAGAATATTGGAACTTGTTGGCTATACATACTGCCTATTCCAGTTAATGGGTAAGGCTACTTGGTGGGTTTCTTTTATTAACAAAAAACATGTTTTAATTGACTATTCTTGGTTAAAGGTTATCTTGGTGACATGCAGACAAAAACAGTAAACTGAATTTGCATATTAGCAGTTTCTCAGCCCACATTTCCATTGCACCCTGGCTGGTCTTATGCAGTTCTGTTAAGTCCCACCTTCAACTTACCAAGTCACTTTCCAACCCAATACACTTGTTTTATTCCTTATCTCTACAACCTTTGGGAAACATTCTAACTCGTTGTTGGTGCAGTGTTGACATCAGAGTGCACACATTCTTAAATTTGCACTGACCCTGATCCTATGCTCACATGACCCGTGCCTCACACTTACAGCTGTGCCAAAACCAGAACCAGCCTTGCCATCATGGATTCAATGTATAAATCAATAGTTAAATTGTGCAATCAATAGTTACATTTCCCATTTTAATTTATTTCAAATTATGGAAAAATTGAAAACAAACTTGTTATTTTAAACTTAACCAATGGCAAGTTTAAACTTAAAAGCAACTTTTCCAAAGATGGCTTCCTGACCTCCACTACCTCAGCCATTTAGGGTGGGGGATAAAGGAAGTGGGAGGAGACGAGCCCTAGAAATCTAAGGAAGCATGGGTTCACAGACCTGGGCCCTGGTATGTTTTCAGGGCTGATACTGGCTCATTCCTGGGCCAGTAGAGTCTAGTTTTCAGTCACCATGGTAATGAGGCATAGGTGATGTGAATGTGGTTCCAACCTTATTGATGTTTAAATTAACATTCTACTGTGATACTCAGATTATACTTTATATACTTAATAAAAACGTGATAACATCAATGTATATTTTCGTTTTATATATATTTTTTGCTATAAACATTACATTTGATATGCCCAAAGGCTTTTCTGTAAGTTGGTGTTATATGGGATAAATAGCCAAATGTTTTCTACAGGTGTGATTTTTGCCTTTGGGGAGGGAGAAGAGAACTTTTACAATGTTCACTTGACATAACACACCATGCATTTGCACTTTATTATTTTTCCAGATACTATAATGGTGTTGCTGTGTGTCACAAAAATAAAAAGACGCGTCATTCCATTCCTTTTAGCAGGCAGCTTTAACAACACCATCTCTGGAAAAGTTCCATAATACATTTAAAATTATTTAAACATGGATTTTTGTGTTTGTGCTTGGGAAATTGCATGACAGTAATATTGTTTATTTCCTCAAACCTTTAGGACACATTTTATAAAAATGTATTTAATACATAATTGTGGGACCTAGTGAAACATGGTTTTGGTGGTGTTTAATATTCGTGCATTATTGTTGGGATTTGTTGAGCTCCCCAAGGACCGTGCGTGGGTGTGGAGATGTGTAAATGTAGTTTTATTGAGGTGTCGACACTTGTGGGTGGTTGTCGCAAGAGTAATTTTATTATGAACCTAGGTTGAATTTCTTGTACTGGATAATATCAGTGGTATATAGTAGTTAATCCTGTTCAGGACCCTTCCCCACTGTCAATGATTACCTGGTCAGCAGAAAGGAGCCAGACGTGGATCTCTTTATACCATCCATGAGTGCACTTGGCTCGTTTTAAGAGCCACTTCTATCACACCACTTGCCCAAACAATCTATATGGCTATATGGTGGATATCTGTCTGAGTTTGTCTGCTCAAGTTGGAAATCTCTCGTATTACTGTTTATACAATGAATGGCACACCTGATCCATATTTATTTCCCCTTATCCAATAAGGTGTAATTGCACACTGCCAAGTTTAATAACCTGATATTGTTCGACTCGTTTTGGTAAAATATGAAACCACATTCAGGGATTCATGGTTTACTGTGATGGTTGCTTTTGTGTGTTTGGCAAAGTAATTGATTACGCATAGATTTTTACAAGTGTATTCGATTTAATTTAATGTATTTACTTTGTATATTGGCTTCACTGAAATTACACTTGGACTGTTTGCTTAATTAACTTTAGGTCACACCTGTCTGCTGTTGGCAGAGTGCAACAACTGCATGCTCAGCTGGTGGCTTAGGGAAATATTTTTTTCGAGTAGCAGAATCTAGCACTGGCATGTGACCGTTGAAAAGGTTTTTTTTACATGTGTTTTTGTGAAAAGTGTATCTGATACGCAATGTAAGTAGCAGGTTTTCAGTAAAAATGGAACCATGTTATTGAAGCTTGATTTTTATAATTAGAGAGTAGCATTCTAATTTTACAGTCATGTAGTTTTCTTTCTGATAGTAATGTTAAAGTGTGAACTTAATTGATTATTACAAAGGTTACACTCATCACATTCCTACCCACAGACTGAAGCGTCTTGAGGTTTAGAAGTTTTTATGAGCGTTCGAGGTTACCATTAATTAATTTGTATGTCCAAATTTGAAAGAGATGCATGCGTTTCTATTTTATCTATTGTGATATTTATTTTTAAATTATATGCACATGTTTCGATTTAAAGGTTTTCACATCGGTTTACTGTATGATAGTTGAGTTGTTACAGCCCCCTTTGGCGTCCATGTACTAGGTGCCTCTGTGGATGTGTAGGCTTTGACTTTAACATAGCTATATCTGTGAAGAATATATTGAGTACATTTATTATATTGATGTAATTTAGACTTAGGTTTTTCACATCGGTTTACTGTATGATAGTTGAGTTGTTACAGCCCCCTTTGGCATCCATGCACTAGGTGCCTCTGTGGATGTGTAGGAATTGACTTTAACATAGCTATTTCTGTGACCAGTCACAAGCTAATCCCTCAGCTATTTCAATGCTAAATTATCCTGTTTGATATGTAAACCCCTTTGTCAAGGTGCCTCACTTCTCTCAACCAGCTTAAAAGACGCTTCGAATCTTAGCAGCGTTCATTGAAGCTCTGTCGTCCCGACAGTTTTTGTTCCTTCACCTGAAGAAGGCTACTTGTGTTGTGGCCGAAATGTCGTGAGAATTTAATTGTCTTATTTTATTTTATTATTTTATTCTCATCCTACGTGACTTTACCGAAAGAACCAAAGAAGATATATGCACATGCTTTGTAACTATGAACAATACGTGACTATTGGTTGACAAACATCACACAAATGACCTTGAGCAGTCAAACATTTAAATTGTAGGTATATGGGACGTGCATATGATCATAATTTTATTTTCAAAGAAAATGTTTCCAGAATCTTTTAAAGTGACTGATATGGGCACGTGTGAGATTGCAGCTGTTTCTGCTCCACACTATTTTGGGATTTGGTGTCAAGTGTCCTACACCACGTGGTTGTCTGAAACAGTATTCACTGTCTCGTGGTGGGGCTTGTTAGTTTGGACGTTGTGGAGTTAATGCAACGAGGCAGATATGGGCTGCTGTTTCAGTAAAGAGAAACGTCAGGATGTTAATGAAACAAAACCACTTCTTGAAAATGAAGGGAAATACGACACCCGTGCAGTCACATCAGGGGTCATTAACCCGATGTCGAGCCTGGCTGAGGCCTTGGAAGATGGTGTCAGGTCAAACCTGACTCTCGCTTTGGCCAAGTGGTGCGAGGTGGAGGAAGAAAGTCGCGCTGCGGACAGCGAACTCGACGGAATTGGACGGAGAGGGCTTAACACGTCGCCATCGACGGGTGAGTCCACCGGCCGGCCCAAGGCGCCCTCCACGGTTGTACGCGGCTTGCGTAACGCCAGCCGCAGTTGCGCCGATGTCACCCTCGCATCGTGGCTGAAGGAGACGAGGACGCTGCTGCTGGCACGGCCCCTGGATGTGCTGTGGCCCAAGTTCCAGACAGGCGCCGAAGGCCACGTATTGGATGGGAAACAGGTGCAGCTGTTTCTCAGCGAGTGGCACTGCCTGTTTGTGCTCCGTGATCGGCTGTGGAAGATCATGCCATTGTCATTCGTAGAGAAAAAAAAGAAAACTCTGTTTAAAAAGCGGAAGACTGTCAACAATGCAGACATACGGCGGTGTTCTCCAACGTGCACACAGCTTGTTGTCGTTGAGCCTCCGTGTTGTACAGTGCTTGCCGATAACGAGCGGTCACGAGAAACGCAAACCAAGCCTATGGAAATACTGGAAACTGACCAGTTCTGCATCAACAGTAAGTTGATTCTCGGTAAAGATGGACCTGATGCCTCTTCAGAATTACCTGTAGGGCATTCCTGTGATGCAAATATGTTAAATGGCCTCCACTTGACTGAGGCCAAAGGGAATGTAAATGGATCCCTTGAATATGTTTTTGAGCAGGAGCGGCATGTGTCCCGTTCTAGAAATTCTACGCTAATGACTGGAGTCTTTGTTTCACCAGCTGAATGTGGGTCATCTCCATTGTTGAGTGATTCACAAATGTTATGCATATGTGACGAGACTATTAAAGCTAGTGAACCTCATTGTGATTTTCAAGAGTTCGATGCACTCCACGGAAACTCAATGGAGAGAGTATTATGTAATGTTGACAACACTAGTGCTGTTGGTCATTTAAAAAGCGATGAAGATACAGTTGAAGAAGATATAAATGCTAATGCATTTTTAAGTGAGGCAACCCGGTTGTCCATGCCTCTTAATCTAATGCAGAAATGCTGTCGTGACTTGCATTATTCAGATTGTGACATTTCTACAAAAGCAACTGAGACAAAATGCCCGACCCAAGAGGTGGCATCTGAACAGCATACATTGGAAGAGAGCTGCATTACAAAACTATTAACTCAGTCGCATTGTAATAGCTCTGATGGTCAGCATGGTGAATTATCTTTGTTTTCCATTGGCAACGGTGTTGCTAATCAAGTTGGCACTGATTGCCTGGACTTTGATTTCGGTTGCCAAGACACGCTACCCACGCACGCATATCTCGACAGAAAATGTAATAAATGGGCTACTGCACCTTCATGCCCGGTTGCCATGGTGCAGGAAGACGAGATGAATGAACGAAGCGGCGTCGCGATTCCAAAACAGAGGGACGTCAGCAGTGACGGTAGTGCATTGCATCCAGACGGCGGTTCAGCAGAGCAGGACTGCATCAGCACCACACACCGTGATGTCAAGCCCGTTGCCGAGGTGACGGCGGAACACGTCAGCCATTCATCCTTTTACTGCAACGTGGAAGCGGCGCAGTGCCCCGACAATGCAAGCTGCATGCCGGTGCTCTCGGACGAAAATCCATTAGCCGCAGGGGGATTACGGTGTGAAGAAGTCGGCTGCGATGCCTCTCCTGTAGAAGCAGTGCATGGTGATCCATTGGTGAAGGTTACGATTGAAGACCGAAGCTGCAGTGAGGTAGGAGAGCAACAACTGGTGGTCGGTTATTCTTGCGATTCTTTGCAAATGAGTACTGACGTTGGCGAGAGTGTTTGCATAATTCCGAGTGCAGCTGCCATGACAGAGTTGCCTTTCTCTTCAGAGAGCCTGATAAATGGTGATGATGGGTCCCTGTTGCATTGTGGTGAGCTGGCTTATCAGTTTGTTTCTCCCAAAGACTGTGAACTGCTGTCATCTCGGCGCATATCGTTGGTGCTCTGTAGTGAACCTATCCAGGAAGACATGTGTTCTGTTCTTAACTGTGATGCAGTAAATTATTCCAGCAATGGAAAATTACGCGGAGTAACTAATATAGAAGAAAATATTCCGAAGGTGCCATCGGACAACATTTTAACATTGAAAGCTGATGAAATTAACTTGTGCAGCCTGGAATTGTCTGAAGAGTTGAAAGCGGATCATGAGACTGTGTGTGTTGGGACAGTGCCAGCAAATGTTCTGGATTCTCCTAATCGTACATTATATTGTGATGAACAGCAACTAGAAGCTGATTGTCTGGAACATCCTGAAAATATTCCAGCAAATTTTGATGCAGCACAGGAGTACAGAGTATGCTCATCTTCAACATCTCCAAACAGTGTTCAATGGTCAGATGGTAATGCAGAAGTTGTATTGGATGAAAAGCCACATGTTGACTGGAAACTGAAGTCCGTAGCTGCTGTTGCCAACTCATCTGAAGAAACAGCCAAGCAGTGGTTGGAGCCTGTACAGCATTTACAAGATGATAATTATTTGAATGGGAGTGAACTGCATTCAATAGATGCCAGTGTTACATCAGAGACCATTAATCTTGTGACATGCATGCCAGTCTTTGCCGAGAAACATGTGGATCAATTTGTGGAGCAAAATCAAATTGATAAGTATGCTGCGACTCCATCTTATGAGATATCAGGCATTTCTTCCATTAAATTGTCTGCAGACTCCCGCAAAGTTGGTCAACCCAGCAGACAGCATTGTGCTGCCTATTACCATGATACATTCAGCTGTGAAAGTAAAGATCATAACACAGACGCTGCTTGCTTTGAAGTGCCAGTATTCCCAGAAGGCAGCAACACTGTAATTCCTATGCCCACATTTGACAAACCAACTCCGACTGACAGCGACGACCCACACTTCTCCAACATGTTCAAACTGTTTGACACAATGCCCGTAGGGGAAGCAAGCTTCCCGTCGATCATCCAGTCCACACCTGAGGGCCAAGTGATCGTGGAGGTTTCAGAAACCGAGTACATTCCTGCAGGTGGGCTGCCTGGTGACTTAGCCAGCAGTCTGCTTCAAATGTCCCCTATGTTCTACATGGCTGCCGGCTCTCCAATGGGCCAGTCGGAGACCATCACCGTGCCCAGCGGCATGCATGGGCCTCTGGCATATAGCGGCAGTATTCCTGAATCGGGAATGTGGAGCTGGATGTATTCCAACGTCCCACCTCTTCAAGTTGATGCTGTTAGTATTTTTTCAGTGTTTTGCACCTCAACTGTTTTATGCAATATTTTGTACGGTGAAAATTGTTATTATTTCGTATCTTAAGGTTGATTTATGTATTCTTTTAGAGCCGTAGGTGTTTTTTAAGGTTTAAATCAATGCTTACTTTTTAGACGACTTGCATTAACAAAAATGTAATTCTGAAACAGTGGTAGTAATACGTAGATTTAGTTTTTTTTTACGTTTGGGTATCAAGTCTTTATTATGTGCTTTCCCACACCTATTAGCAAGGTTGGCAATATACAGTGCAAAATAAGTTCAACGTACATACATTGCAAGCTGCAGCATCAAAGTGCTAGTGAAAGCATTCGTTTGAATGCGGGTTGTCATTTTGTGAGATTACAGTTCCACGTACAGATGTTTTATTTTATTTCTGAGGACAACCTGATGACAGCAAAGTGCTGAATAGACGCACATCTCCCCCATGCCTGTGCGCCCCATAAAAGTACAACCGTACTCGCAATCCGTGCAGAATTTCCTGACGCCGCTTGCTATATTTATACTCGGGCTACCATGAGAAAGTGGCTTTATTTAGACACTTGCCATGTCCATGTGTTGTTCACACTGGCTCCATGGCTGCCTGTGTCTACACCGAGTACCCAACCACAGACCCGGAACGGAGTATATGTTTTGTCCTCTGCTGTTTCAAAGTACTTGGAGAAGTTAATGCACTCTTGAGGGTCTAATTCGGTGTCAGGATAATTAGTTTTAATTGCATCTGAAAGAAAAGGGGGACTTGTATATTTATAAGTGGGGTTCCTTGGCTGCCAGACAGTCTCGCTTCTGCTAGCTATGGCCTGTCCATATACGGTAAATAAGTATTTGTCAGGACATGTTGTAACACATTAGGTGTGGTTTATGCCTGAACGCTAGTTGAGGGAGCGGCTTGGCACATGAATAGTTAATTGATTATGTTTGGATAACTTACGTGTTTATTTTTCTCTTGTGTCCATGTCTGTGGGGGGACTGTTACGGTGAGTGCTTGTGTGCTTTACGTAAAATGTACGTCGCGTTGTACCGTTAAGCTTCTTAGAATTCCACTATTTTTAGTAATTTATGGATGCATTTGTAAACCAGTGTGACGATCCAGTGTGCTGTTATAAAGGGTGTTGCTTTACTTTATTGTGCAATTAGGGGTTTTAAGTTGGCGTCATACCATTTGCGGTAAAGAATGGATTTTGTTTTCATGTGTAGAAACTGCTTGTTAGTGGGGTTGATGGGGTGTCTTAGAACATGTGCTGTTTTACACATTCTTAAGCGTCAAGTTTTCTCCACATAAATGAAACTAAATGTTGTAGTTTACTTGTAGTCTTTGTCAGTATATTTGGGGAGCATTATCTGTTGTCTTGCCTCATGAGATTTGATTAATCATGGGGTGCTGCTAGAAAAGTGAAGAGTGGCTGTGCTTCACAATACCACCAAGCTAGCCTAATTGAAAAGCCGTGAAATAGTTACGCTGCTTATGCTTACTCGGGCTTTGCCGTATACCAACCAATGCTAATTTAGTCGGCGTCTTTTTAAATGTAGTCATAGTCTAGTCTGAAAACCTAGAGGTGTTTAGCAACGTCTTTGTGGATTTCATTTAGTCATTCTCTTTGCTAGTCGACTAAAGCAGTCAAGCATTTTGTCAATCCATAGTTATTAACTGTTGGTGTTGATATTATCTTGTCAGCCAACCAGTCAACTCGGCAGGAGGCTGCCATCTTTAATAATGCTACTAAGTTATTTTTGTCATTCAGACTCGTTATTCTTAACTCATTATAGTCGGTCATGCTTTGGTCTTTGCTGGTAGTCATTGTCATACACTCATAGTCATCGTTGACTAGAATACAAGAAAACTGCTGAGTTGTCATATTTTTTTATAGGAAATAAACACTGCTCCCAATGTGGCAACACAGCTCATGGTGGAGGGCGCTGTCCTGAACCCTAATGCTGCATCCTGGAAGAGCCCGGCGCCCAGCGCTGACATCGCCTTTGCTCCAGGCAGAGCCGTGAATGGGGACTGGCCCGACCCAGAGCCTCGACCCTACTCTGAAGGCACGCACACTCGTACACATGCACGTATGCGCGCACACACACACACACATGCCTGGGTGTACTGTGCACTGAATGGATATACAATATGATTCGCTGATACTCGTGTGTACAGTTTAGTTGAACATGATGATAACAATGCCACAGCTTCAGGTGCTGGTTGAACATGAAAATAACAATAACCTTTTGCCAATCCACCATTGGATGAGCGCCCTTCAATGTCAAGTGGGTCGAGGGGTTATTTTACCTTGCTTCACGGAGGTCGGTGTGGGTTGATGAAGATGCAGAGCATAGACCTGGGAGCTATTCAATGCAGTAGTACAATGATGGCTTTTGCTGGACTCCTCCACTTGCCTACCACATGGCACCACAGCAGCCTATATCACCCCATTGATGGTTGCCCAGCGATGATTTGATGCATGTTATACGATCATCAGGATTAGTTTTAATCAATAAATCCGATACATCATTATATGCCTACTGCTCTACATATTTAGTTATCCCTCATTACAAATGAAATAGTTACACACTTTGCATATGCGCATAATGACTAGACATTGATGGCTAAACATCACACTGCACTTGGTAGCAAACGTTCTCGTTAAGCAAATGCGTAAAGTGTTGTAACGATGTGCGCGCCCATTGTAGTTTACTCCGGGAGCAACGGTGAAGAGGGTGAAGCCACGTTCGGCGCTTTGACCGAGATAGAGCCTGTGCTGCCCCCTGAGCCGCTGACCCCAACCTCACCGACGCCCCAAGACGAACACATCCCCGAGGGCAAGCCGTATGTCGTGATGGAGAGTGCCAGCGGTGATGGGGAAGCTCCAGAGGCTGAGGATGGGCTTCAGGTCCCTGTGGTCAACGGTGCTGGCAAGGAACCACCCAGCCTGGTTGCGGAAAACCCCACATGTCCCCTCACTGGTATGTGAACCCATGCCAGAACACCTAACATCCTCCATCACACAGTATTGATCTTGGGTCTTTGTGGTCCCGAGTGGAAGCATCATGTTGAGACCACAGACACCTTTGAGCTTGTTCGCACTGCTTATTCAGTCGTAAATGTTTCTTGAGCCAAAATTGCTCTTGGCTGATTCATTGACCCTTGCACAAGCTGAATAATGCTGAAAGGATTGCCTGTATGTTATGCCTGCCACGTGTCACTCGGAGGACCCCCAGAGCCGCTAGGTTTCCCTGCAGTCATGGATGGGTTTTGCTCATTGGTAATACTGTCTCAGTCTGCTCGAGTGCTAAGTGGATTTTTAGTCATTGCAGCGAGTTTTAAGAATTACCTTGTTACTGCTCCTACAATGCAAAGGTTTTCAATGCTCATGAATGGCTGTTTCCGATCACTTGACTGAACAGTTACATAGTAACACACGAGGTTGGTCGTGCATGTGTTTACCAATGCAACACTCCCTTATGCCACTCATTGTTGCCTTGGTTTACTTTCATTAAAATCGTGCACGGTAAATATCTCAATCAAATTAGTCATTTTAATCTTAATCAAGTTTAAGTAAAGTGTCAGGATGTCTTTATTTTTTTGGTAACATGCACCCATAAATACTCAACTGTTTTCGTGTGTTTAATGTGAATAAGATCAAAACATGGTTGTGTATTTATGCATGGTTGTGTGCAGGTGATGTAGGGCAATCAGAAACACAAACAATGAAGCCCGAAGAACTGAAGGAAATTTTGAGAAAACAGCTGGAATACTACTTCTCAAGGTGATTGTTTTAACTGCTTAAAAGTACTTCAAAATGTTGAAGTTTAATAGATTGTAGTAACAGAGGGGCACAGCTATGCCTTCCAAACTTGCTGATGTATCCATTGAGTGTCTGATTTCTGCCTTTGTGCCTTCGCGAATGACACCGGCATCAGCACTTGCAATTTTAAAATTTTAATGCCACCGGTGAAGTTCAAGGGATTTTCAACGTGCATCTGTGCTTGCAGAGAGAACCTGGCCAACGACATGTACCTAGTGTCCCAGATGGACAGTGACCACTATGTGCCCATCTGGACAATCGCCAACTTCAACCAGGTCAAGAGGCTAACTGCTGACACAGATCTCATCGTGGAAGTGCTCAAGTGTAAGTTTTCCTTATGCGTCTTCCAACCTAGCACGGCACTGGTTGTAACCTCCCCCCCCCTCGTGTTTTCCTTTACAATTGAAAGGCACTAATGTTGACTTGGCTGCTGCGACTGTCAAACTGTGCGACCTGCTGGAAAATATTACATTTGGGAAGTGGTGTCAATGCAACTGATGGCCCTGCTCTCCCCAGCTAGATGTTAACTACCGTTCCTGGGAAACAGGAGGTTGTGGGTTCGATCCCGACTGATGCCTGCTGTATATTTGGAGTTTGCATGTTCATTCTCCCCGCGGTGACATAGTTTCATGCATTGATCAATGGCATTAATGCAGTGCTACAGTGAAATGCAGTGAAGTGTTTTACATACTTTTGTGCAAGATTCACTGCCATTAAATTTACACAAGTATACTCTGCTAAATTTTTTCGCAAATATTACAGCTTACATCCATGGACGGGCAAAAGGCTAGTAGTAAATAATGCCTTTTGGAAGGATAGTTGAGCCATTGTTTCATTGATAATGAAGTACTGTGCAAAAAATCCAGGCTTAAGACCGTGTTTTTTTTCACATCTTGTTACGTGCCTGTCTTTGTCACCGTTTCTGTTCTGTATCTTGGACTGTGGTGGCATTTGTGCACTATATACATTCAAATTTTGTTATATTATTTTTAAAACATTTTTGACATCTACTGCTCTTACAAAAAGGTGGTTTTTGAAATGTTTAAAAATGTTTATATCAAGAACACTGATGTCCTTTTACAAAACAATACAAATAGAATAGGCTTTACCCTTTCCGGCAATAATACTTAAGATTTTGAACACCAAATAGGCACATTTTGTTTTTCCATCATTTTTATACTGGCAAAGGGGTCCATAGATCATTTACAAAACATTTTTAATTGCTGCTATTATATAATCAGTCTACTAAACTATTCACCATTGTTGCAAGCATATTAACTTTACATCTTTGGATAATATGCCAATAGGTTGTGAAATAATGCACAATTTTAATACACAGATTAAAATGTATAGGACTCTGAATATGTAAGCTGTATAAACAGTTGATAAAACAAAATTGCTAAACTCATTAAATGTTGATATAACACTGCTAAGATTTGCATTTTGTTGGAATGAAGTGTGGAAATGCTGCTAAGTTTTCAGAGTGATAATCTGGATCCACAAATCTTCCACAAAACACTGCATTGCAAAAAGCTTGTGTGACATTTTAACAGCAGGGCAGCACTCCCAAACGCTTTTGGAACAAATTCAAAGGCTTTTTCTGGATTGATTTTTTTTATTCTTGCCCTTTAAAATTCTTTGTTATTTTAATTTAACAGTCTGCAGGAAACGTGGGAATGTGGTAAAGAGCAATCGCTATTGAATACTTGTACAGAATTTTTCACAAAAAATCACCACTGCTTAGGTCTAGCTATTTCCTAATTCTAATAGTTGCTCTATTCTGCTCAGTTTTCTCCTCTGCCGCAAGTAGTCATGTTTAACCAGATGAGGAGCATGTCAACACTACAAACAAAATATCACCCATTTTCTAATTTGGCTTGAGCAATATTAGCTTATAATGTATAGATTTTCGTTTACATGATTGTTGTGGTTTTTTTTGCATTGCTCAGCCTCGCCACTGGTGCAAGTGGACGAGAAAGGGGAGAAAGTGCGACCCAACCACAAGCGTTGCATCGTGATCCTGCGAGAGGTCCCGGAGAGCACGCCCATAGAGGTAGGCGACCACGCTGATCTTTTCTCTGGCACCTTGACATGATTTAGATGGAAGAGGCTTTTGCAGAGCACCTGCTCCTGATTTGGCATATTTCAGGTTGCTTTTAGTTAATGGAATGGTTAATAATTCACCTTGTGGTTCACAGTTTTCTGTTGGCGATGCTTGTATTTTTTTGTGCGTGTGTGTTATGGTAACATTGTTTATCTTCGGAACACAAAGTGTTTGTACATTGTTTTTAATAAATATATTGTTATTTTTACCCACATGATCAATTAGTTTTTCAAAAGCCGAAATCTATTTTTTCATTCGAGTTTACTTGGCAAATTCATGAAATTAATTACTGTTTGAAACGTGTCATTCCTTATGCAGTGTTAATGAGGATCTGATTAGCCCTGTTGTTTTATGTCTTGACTCTTGGGATGCCTTTTCAGGAGGTGGAAAGTCTCTTTAAGAGCGAGAACTGTCCCAGGTTTGTGAGCTGCGAGTTTGCTCACAATGACAGTTGGTACGTTACATTTGAATCGGATGCAGATGCGCAGCAGGTGAGGGCTCCCACTGAGCTAATGTGCCCTCTCCACACTCCTCCTTTTCAGTGTCCCACTTCCACTGCCAAATACTTGATTACATCAGAATAGTTCAACCATTTAGCATAACACTACAGGTCTTAGTTTGGGTCGCCCTAGTTGGCAACATATACTATGAGAACAAAGAGGTGTGTGAAATTAGCATGCCTCAACTCTAATCGCATTGTTATGATAACTTGGTTGTATTTTGTTCTTTGAGTATAAGGCTGTGATGCTGGTGCATGATGGCCAGAATGAATGATGCCATTGGGTTTTCAATTTAAATGTTACTACACCTGCCTTGTGTAACATTGACATTGCATGCACAAGGCAGTGCTCGTATGATTGAATTTACATTTTCCGTTACAGGCTTACAAGTACTTAAGAGAGGAAGCCAAGACATTCTTGGGAAAGCCTATCATGGTGCGTAAATGTGTTCTTGTTACTGGAATTTTTCATTGTATTATATAGCCAATATGGATTTGACAACATGATTATCTTAATTTGATAAATTAAATAGAATGAGAACATTGCTTTAAGATCCATCTTTTGGTGTGTGTTATGTGATGAGCCCTTCCCATTAAGTAATCTAACCATAGGTGTTTTATCGGTTGAGTGCTGGCCTCCTAACATGGAGCAATGGAGGAATGACGTAGTGGTTAGATAACTACCATCAGTAGCGAGTTATTATCTAAACTGGCCATGCTCTCCTATATCAAACTATACTGACTAGCATCTGCTGTGAAGTATCGTTAAATAAAAATCCCATGACTGCCACAGCATGTATATTTGATGTTGATTCAAATGCTAGCCTTCCAAACATCTTAAATAGTTAAGCAAACCTGCACTATGATACTTTATTTCGCAAAAAGTCTAGAGGTAGTGTTTTTGTTTTTACATGTATGTCTATTTGTGCTCTTTCATGTGTTTTGTGCTCAGGCACGCATTAAGGCCAAGTCGATGGGCATCACTGCATTCATCCCCAAGAATGGTCAGCAACCACTGGAAGTGGGCGGCTTTCACCAGCAGTTCCAGCCTGCCGCCGTCTACATGCAGCCTGTGCATTACAGCCCGGCACAACAGCAGCAGCCACCATACCCCTTCTACAGCATGCTGTCCCAACCCTGGTCCTCATCACTTGGCTACTATGATGGCACGCAGCTCGTAACGGTGGGCTGCCACATCTTGATCCAAAATCGGCATCGAACTTAACTTTTACACAACACTACAATTATTATTAATACCCCATGTGAAAAAAAAATGTTAGCACATTGTTTTTTTAGTGAGCACTGATTTATTATGTGTTTACTTGTTTGGAAAACCAGCATTAATCAAGGTACTTTGCTTATTCTTTTTGAGAAAATGGGCATTTTGCAGATCACAAGTCTAGTGTGCTGAGTTGACTTGTCTGTGTGCTGTGTCATGCTGACAGGGCACTTTTCCAAGCACTGCCTTCCTGAGTAGCTTCCCTGCCACTGGCCACTACAAGCACATGCAGGCACTGCAGCATCGGCCATACACAGGCAGGAGCAGGTAATGCACACGCCCCCCCAACAAAGGCTTTTGAAAAAAGGCATAACCAAAAGAGAGTAATAGCTTTTGTAAGTAAACACTGAGGCTCCTATGTCCAAGGCTTCTGACACAAGTTTGAAGCTTTGTTCATGAACAAAAAAAAATATGTTAACGTTATGATAACTGCATTACTCATTGGTGCAGGCACTGATGCCCTCCATGTGTTTTAATACAACGATGTAGTGATGTCACAAGAGTGCTAGGGCCAGTGTGCCTGGCTATGATTGGAAAGTATTTTCCCCCACTGTAAGAAAGTTTCAAGCTTTTGTTGGATACAAGGCCTAAGTACATAACTGCAATATTTTTTGGGTTCCATCTTCCTTGAAATTTGGAAGATATTACATCTCACATATCACTTGCATTGAATTCAATGCCAATTTGTTTTTGTCATTTAGTGCCATATAAAATCTAGTATAATTTGGAATAAGTAACATAATATTGGAGTGCAGAGTGAAACAATAAAAGCTTAAGCAAATTTATTTTCATTAAAAAAGTATGTGCACATTTTGTCACTCCACTAGGGGAGGAGGAAAGTCCCAAGGAAGGAGCCACCCTAGCCAACACGACAAGGTGATCCCGGACGCAATTTCCTTCGTGCCGATGAACAGCGTGCACCTCGTTGACAGGCCGGCAACCAATGGTGGCCCACGAGGAGGGGCTAATGCCGGGCAGCGCCGGCCTACGGGCAGCACTGTGGGCAGTGGTGTGGGTGGCGGCAGCAGCAGCAGTAGCATCACCAGTGGTGTGAGTGGTGGGGGCAGCAGCTACAGGCCTCATGCGCCAGAGCAGCCGTTCCTGGGCAGTCGAACGCAGCCGTCGGATGCCCCCTTTGTGAGGCGAGATGTCGAAGTAAACGGCGGAGACCCAGCACTCCTCGCCTCCAGAGGAAGGTTTGTTCGTTTTGTTTTGCCTTTTTTCAGTTTCACAGCTTGAATTTTGAACATGCTAGTGCAGGATATCCTTGCCGAACGTGTGGGTTACGTTTCTAGAAAATTACGCGTTGGGCTCACCTCTCGCAAGCCTATCTAACAACAATCTTGACAACTTCGATTTAAAGCTTTCGTGACTGCAAGGTTCTTTCGGTAAAGTCACGTAGAATGAGAATAAAATTATAAAATAAAACAATAAAATTCTCACGACGTTTCGGCCACAACACAAGAGCTACAATGGTAGCTCTGTCGTCCCGACAGGTTTGTTCCTTTCACCTGAAGAAGGCCACTTGTGTTGTGGCCGAAACGTCGTGAGAATTTTATTGTTTTATTTTATTATTTTATTCTCATTCTACGTGACTTTACCGAAAGAACCAAAGAATATGAATCTTTACAACGTCAAACTCCGTATAGCCAAAAATAACCCCCCCCCCCCCCGGGGTTTCGGAAAACAGACCTCATTAAGTAAACGGTATCTAGCTAAAAGATGCTTTCTAAAATCGCTTATTACGTTCACAATGTGTGTTTAATTGTACGTGTGAAAATGCTAGTGTACGATATATGCAAATCTAAAGAAATAGTGGTTGTGGAGGCAGTGTAGCGGTTAGCACACTACACTTCAAACATGGTGATTTGAGTTACATTTCCAACCACGGTTAACATCAGTGGTGAGTGATATTTGAAACTTGTCCTGGGCATTCCTTCATCAACCTACAGTGACCAGTGAAGTATGGGACAATCAACCCCTGTAACTGACAACACATGCAGAGCGCTTCACCACTAATTGATCGACAAATGGGCCTTTAAGCTATGGAAATGAGACGGTGAAAAAATGTAACGCTACAACTAAAACTGTAACATAAAAGACATTTCTGAACTAAAATTGTCACCCCGAATTGTGACAGTTCATCAGTTTGCTGGGGGTGTGAGTCATTACATGCCTTATCTAATGTCATTGTTTCCATTCAACACTTTTAAAATATATGTAAGCGTTTTTGTATTAAAAAAAAACAACTTCAAATGTAAAATGAACCTGTATATTTGCCCAATGATGAGAACATTTTCCTGGAGGGATTTCGCCAGGAGGACAGTTTAGCTCATCTTCCCTTCTGTCCCCTTCGTACGTTGCTATCCTTTCCTGTGCCTTTTCTACCTTTATTCTCTTCCATATTCCCTTTTCCTTATGTCTCATGCTTTCCTTTTTCATGTTGTCTCAACTATCCTGCCTTGTTTTCTTTTCTGTCCTTTTCACCATTTCTCTGGGCTCTTACTGTATCCTCCTGGGTCTGGTCCCGATGACCACAATGATTATGAGATCTGAGGGCAATGGAAATATTTTCTCCTTAAAGGTTCTGCACACTAACGTGTTTTAAGCTCTTGCGCATTGCTTGGGCGTGCTTGCGCGTGTGTGCATGCCTTTGTTGACTGGAGTGTTTGTGTTCCACACGCAGGAAAGGGTTCCGAGGGAGGAGGAGAAGAGACGATGAGCGGACCGTGGTATGTGGTCCTCTCTGAACCCTTGGGTTACCTTGGCACACATAACCTTGGCGTTAATGTGAACATGGATATTCGTAGGTGTAAATAACAATATCTGTAGAAATAAGTGCCTTTCCTTAGTGTGTATAGCCCAATTAAACATTGTGTTTGTGGTGTTGGGGGATTTAATTTGGCTTGGTTATTTAAAATAGATCAATATTAGTGCAAACTACAGTTATCATTTTATTTTTAAAAAACATTAAAATAAAAATATTACTTAATAAGCTCATGAAAAACCTTAACGTAGCTTTCCTGCTTAGAACATCATGATTAAATGCTGTCGAGTGCAGAGTTGCAGCTACTGGTCTTCAAAGTGTGGTCGTCTGGGTTAAGCTGCATTTCTTCTATTAACCTTTTCCACGCGCTACTGCGGGGCACCTTCAGGATTTGAAGATGTTCTCTCAACACATTCCCAAACCGTGAAGAGAGACGACACTTTGATTACGAGCGGCTGTGAAGACTTACAATGTTAAAAAATCCACATATTTTGCCGTTCATTTTTTGTGCTCGGAACAGAAATGTCCGCAGCCGCCAGTGCCCCTTGTGCCCCCCGAGTCCCCGCGGCTCGAGTTGGCCGCGTCCGAGTTCCCCCCCCTGCCAGGGGCGTCGACCAGCGTCCGCGAGGACAGTGTCCCCACGCGGCACGAGAACCGCCTCGCCGACGTGGTGCGAGGGATCGGCAAGGTCAGCAGCGTCGTGATCACCATCTCTTGCACCCGCTGCCATGCGAGAACCATCTGTGTGGTCCATTCGTTCATTGCTTCCATCCATTGTTTGGCGGATTGGAGTCTCTGGCAGCCATTTACCGATTACACTTTCTCCAGTCGCTGAGTGTTTAGGGCTATTAATAATGTATAAAGCTACGGCTGTTGTTGCATAGAAATTAGAGTAGAATGATTTTTTTTGTCATTGACAGGAAAAGTTTATTAAAAAAGGCCGGTTTGGTGGAACCGTCGATCTCATTGCCCGATGATGACGTCATTTTCTGAGAGGGTTACCGCCAGGCGGATAGCTGGACTCTGCTGTTCTTCTCTGTCCTGTCCCTGTGCTGTCCCTCACCTCAAACTTTGCTTCCTTTTGCGTTCTGTGTCTCTGCGCTACGCTTTTACTCTTCCAAACCTGTCCTTTGCATCTGTCCCTCCTGTATTTACTGCTCTTGCCATTTTCCATCTCCTTTCCCCCGAGTCCTTGCTGTTCCGCTCTGGGACAGGTCCCGATGACCCCAAAGATTATGAGATCTGAGGGCAATATCAGCTCATGTGCCAAGGTCACTTGGACGAAAACCACTGTAGCATTAGTTATTTCTAATGAGAGCTAGCTTACTCAGTGCAAAGTTATTGAAAACTTACTATTAATGCTATTGTATATAACTTATTAATTTAAAAGCGTAACAGATAAACATAAAAATGTGGAGGACATCGGAAATCAGTGCTGCAAACACACTGTACTGTACTTCTATGCTCCCATCCAACCCACACTGATTAATGTGGTGAAGTATGGTTAAATAACCCCCACAACCTGCGTGGCATGGAGAGGCTCTCATCTTACAGTGGGTTGACACAAGGGCTGTACATATACATATTTATCACTTTAACCATGCCTTAATACCAATGGCATTTTAAATAAGGCCCAGCGGTTGTGTGTTCTCCGATTTATTGCAGGTCATGGTTTGAATCCAGCTGGCTGCCCTGGTTATTACCACAAGCATATTAACCGTTAAAGTACACGACTTCTGCTTCAGTGGACATTAAAGATCCTGTGACTTCATTCCAAAAAGATTAGGTCAATGTGTGCCAGGCTCATTGTCCAAATATGCAAAATTACTCAATTGGGATTACACACAGCAACATTGGGAAACATAGTGCCTTCGTAATGGCCTTGCGCTATAAAAATGGTGTAAATACCAAATGTGCTAAATAATGATTAAATACCTGGCTCCCATGAAATATCATGTATTTATTTTATATATGTGTGTTCACACAAACACTCATCCAAAAATAGATATTTATGGTGACAGTTGTAAGAGATTTGTGACCAATGTCACCGTGTTAGGTTGGTTTTCAAAAATATGGTTAGGAAAATAGTTGGCCAAGTTTTTGACAACTGCCCTTCACATAAAAATAAAGGTCTGTTGTACTGAAAGCTGGTATTTTTTTCCCTAGCTAATAATAAATTTCCTTGTGTTTTTATGTACCTATACATGTATATACCTGTTTTTATACAGTTAATTGTTGGAAAAGTACGTAAAATAGGTTTGTAAAAAGACTCGATATTTTTATAACGCAGGCCTCGCAAACTGGGAGTACAAATGGCAGCACGGCAGTGCCCCCGAGCGCATTGAACAAGAGCAAGCCCACACCTATGCCTCTGTCCAGCCCTGAGCCCACAAACCCTTGCCCCACACCTCAAGCCACTGTCAGCAGGTGAGCCACAACTTCACACCTCTCTCCCACTGTGCATGGTTTTAGCTTCCCCACTTCAAGCTCTGTTGTATAAAACAATATTCCAAATTTGATAAATTACTCGTACTTTACTTAATTGGGAAGCCACATCGCAACATGTCCCCCTACTGGCAGACTAATCTCCACCTGCTGGCGGTGCTGCATTCAACTGGACAACTGCCACCAGGGGTCGCCTCGAGATGTACTGCATGGGAGGCGTGGTATAAATATTAAGTGATGGTGATGAAACGTAGCAGTTAAATCACAGCAGTCCTCGTTTTCTTTAGTGGTTCATGTTTTTTCATTGTACTACACACTTGTCGATATATAAAGAAACGGATCAGTTGCTGGGATAATGTGAGCAATTGGACAGTGCTATCCCTGAGATGCTGAAGATCACAAACGTTGGAAACTGTCTCTCGTCGACATCAACCCTGAAACTATGAGGATGACAGATGGAGTGACTATAAGCACCTACCAAAGTGAGACAGAATTTTAGGATCCTCTGTGTGTACGGGCGCAGTACCACGGAGGCGGCTGGCACATGTACGGATGAACCGAGCGAAAGCCGTGCCCCAGCTCCCACTGTCACGCCTGGACCCGCTGAGGTCCATGCCACGGTGAGAACCTGCAACACCTCCTGCCTATCCAGTCTCGTGCTGTCGCATCATCTTGGCCAAGACCTCTCCTCTACTGTTAACTCTCAGTTATCTATTGGTGTACTATCTGGGTTGTGGATTACCTGTGCTTGTGAATAAATAAGACATTTATGCACAGACTGGCTTTATTATTATTATCTGCTGCTGCTCACTTGTTTATGGTCAGTAACTCGATCCCCATGTGACTGCAAACGTGTGAGCAAGCAATCCGATTTAAGGTGCAATAAAAATTACAGTGTCCCCACACCCCGTTTTACGTTAAAAAAAACCGAGGTATTCAAGAGTTGGCTATTTCCTGTTTTTTGTGCTCGTCTGTTATATAGTACAGCATGAAATAGTTAATGTGTCTTAGGAATAAATCATATTTAGACACTATAAATTAAAGTTGTTTAATTAACATGAGGAGTCATGAAACTTTTACTTATCAGGAAAGAAACGTAATTTTTCAACAGAAGCATGTGTTCAAGCTATAACCTAATGATTTGCGCAACTTCCAATTAACAACAGGAACCAAAGAAGCTGAGTTACGCACAGATCTGCCAGCGGCCCCCAATGCCTCCCACATGCCAGCCGGTGGCCAACGGCTCCGCAGTAGCTGGGACGGCCGGAGACATGGGCGATGCAGACAGGGACACGGCAGATGACTCTCGGGAGGCGGAGGTGGCCAGCAAGCCTGTCGAAGGGCCTCCGAGGGATCAGCGCAAGCAGTTCGGCATCTCCACACACGCGCATGCAGTCGCCCGAAAGCCACTTGGGGTTCAGAATGGCATGGCCAGGCCTCGGGTAGCAATGGTGGCCAAAGAAACACAATGACCACCGACTGCAGCTTGGCCAACCTGGAATTCGGGAACCGTGTGTCGGGCTGATGTTTTTGTTTTCTCTTGCTTTAAAAAATTCGTGAATATTTAATTTTTTCCTTTTTAATTTTTAAGATGGAATTGATCCATTTCGAATTTGCCAAAATCTTGAGCTACGGTCCTTGGCAATGGGAGAAAACACAAAGCGACTGAAAAAAATACAAGAGGTGTTGATAGGCGCGAAAGACGTTCTACATACATGCATAGTGAAGCCCTGTCATGTGCAACATGATATTTGGGATTTGGAGGCCGGATTCATGGACTTGAGTGCTGGAGAGACCACAACCCAGCCAGAGAGAACAGGAAACCAGGACTGACTGGAGAGAGGCTGGACTGCTGCTTCACTGTTGCAGGCATCACATGAAGGCAAATCAAGTGCACTAATTCCCTTCTACATAAAATCAGACGGGCACTGGCACAGCAGCAGTGAATGACTGATGTTGCACCGTCTCCGTATCCTCTCAGCGTTTTCGTTGTACATAGGACACTGGAATAAGCTTGAGCATTGACAGACTCAGAAGCAGAGTTAACATGATAGAAGTTGTGGTTTGATCGGTAAAATGCTAATGCTTGGTGTAAAATGCAAGGAAAAAGTTAGTGTTGAAAAAGGTAATATGAAATGACTTGTTTTAAAACTAGTAGCAAGTCCAGGGTATCTAAAAAAATCGGTTGTTTTGATTTATTGTGTGGTGGCTTTTGTTGTCCTTTGTTAAACTGCACTGCCTCAGGTTGCAGAGTAAAAAACGAGGCTGTTGCAAGACTTGTAAAGCAATTAACATTTACAACTGACAAACACGTGTACATATACTAATAGCCGGTATGTTTTTTTTGTTTGGGTAACCCTAACACTTAGATGTTGCTTGGAAATACATGATTTCTTTTGGGTGTTTAAAAAAGGGTCTTGATAATTGTTTTGTTTGTCATTCTGCTATGTTTATGCTTCTCGTATTGTGGAATGCTCATTTTTGGAGGTAATTATGTGGGATGTGTGTAATTGGCAGCAGTTATGTTGAATTAAAGGGGGGGTATTTTAATGTTTCTTTAACAATTCATTGTGGTGTTGTTCAAAGGAAGAAGCCACTGTTTTGTCAAAACAGTTCACCTACAGGAAGGTTATTTCTCAAGACTGCAAGCATGCTTTTTATTTTCAATAATGACTAAACGGCAAATATGGCAGATTTCAGCACCTCAATAGAAAGTGTCCACCTCTAATTTGGGGATGCTTTGGTCTACCACCACTTATACAGGAATCCCCCCACTATACATAAGGAGCAGCAGTTCCTGGGAAATGCAGCATTTCCTGGGAAATGCAGCTTAACTCTAAATTACTTCACGGAAACTAATTTCCCATTGCTTTGGCATTAAAATCAGAGTGGTATATCCTCTCTGACATTCCTGGGAGAGAAATGTGACTAAACGTCGTGAAGTGCATTATAAGTCGACATACATTTACATACATTTTCACTCAATACAAATCATTATTATATCAACTCCACCACGTCACATTTACAAGTCCAGCTATGTTTGCTATGTAATACTGTACATTACTTGGGTAGCGCATACCACGACATCGTGGAAAAGGGATTTCCCTCCACGTGCTATACTACACTTTCTTTTTTTTGAGAACACATGCAAAACGTTAAACTTCGAAGGCAATATGCTCCCGAAAATGCATCGGCAACGTATATATGCAAAGCAAATCATGACGCGGCAGCTTATTTCGGGGGAATCCTGTATCATCATGCGGCACTTGGAGTCGGTGTCCCTTCGGCATCTTTTACGGTTATTATGTTTGGTTGCTGTGAGTTCGCTTGTGACTAACAAGACCAACATTTAAATGACACACACCCTTGCACAGAGATCACATGCACAGTCGGCTGCGGGTAACTCGTGAGATCCAGCTTCAATCGACACAGTAACCACCACTTCTGACCCTCGTCACGTGGCTCTTTGTATCTCCGTGTCTTCAAGACGTCTCTCAAGCAGCTGAGGAGGTTGAGCAAAGCCTGCGTGCCATTGCTGTATGTTTTTAGTGAGCTTTTCTCATGAATCTACAGGAATTCCGCATCTCAAATTTGAGTGAAGTACATCCTTACAGTGCGAGTACCCACTCTACACGGTTTGCCAGCTAACACCACTGAATTACATCATACCACCTTCATGCTTGTTAGCCACACTGGTTTTTATTAATTTTAAAAATCTTATTTTCACAAAAGAATTCTGCTTCCCGAATTTTGGAGACTTGATGGATTTTTTTAATTAACCAATATTGGATGTGCTTAGGGGTGGTGGGGGGGTCGGAGGTGTGAACTATTACTATTTAAGGTGGAATTTCCGTGATTATAATTTGTTAAAATTAACAAGTGTAATTAATTAAATGTATACCAATAACATTGAAGAAATCAATGTAAATGTTTTGGCTGAAAAATAATTTCGTTCGAAGCATTATTTTGAATTATACTTAATTTTACATTTATTTATATATTGTTTTGTTGGTGGTTTCAAGTCCTTGCTATAAAGATGATTGGCAAATACATGCATACATATACAACACGGTTATACCTCGGAAAGGATTCGTTTCAATACGATTCGTAGTTTGCTTACAACCGTTAATTATGCGTCAACTCCTACAGCAGCAGAAACGAATAATAATAATGTCCGTACTTTATTACATGTTTATCTTAAAGTACGTTGGTGAATTAATGGCATGTCTAACCTTTATTGGTTCACCAGAATCAAACTACCACAGTAAACATCTCCGATTAGCACGGTTAGCTGCGTACCGTTCGATACAAGTTCTCCATACATACCCACGATTTGACATTGTTCCATATAAGCGTTCTACATACACCATTCTTTTCTTATCCTGCAAATGTGGTGCCACAGCACTGCACTCATGCATCTTGAATTGTGGCCAAGATATTAGATTCTGAGCGATTTAAAAAAATCCATTGTAGATGCTGCCCTGTGCTTTCTTTGAATCCGGGAATTGACTCGGACCCCCATTTTCATCACCAATGTTTGCTCGTGCCGTTCTTTAGCACAAGCGGCTCTCTTCGATAATTCTCTGTGGTACGGAGTTGGGAGATGTTTTCCCTCTGTCAGTAGAGGGCACTGCTGCTGCGCTTTAACACAGGAGTGAAACCCATTTTAATTGCATATTCGCCAGTATGACACATTAAGCATCGACCGATGGTTCCATACAGAGCTGTTGCTCTTGTGTGTGGGTGCATGCTCCATATTGGACAGTTCTCAATTATGTGTTTTTTTAAAGGCACGGCGGTTTCCTTGCAAAGGTAAACATGATTAGGATTCTCCAAAACTCGCCTCGCCAAAGGGTTTTGCCTCGACACTTTCCTGACCGAAACACCATGACAGAGATAGCCTGTTTAACTCCATTTTGCGCGATTAATTAATGAAATAGTGGAGTATTGACTATCATGTGTATGTCAGGTGATGAACACTTAGCCAATGTAATGTAATTGCACTGAAATGCATTTCTTTCTCCGATAGATCCTTGTTTTTTTACCTACCGTCACCAATTTCTGCAGCAGTCCCCACTGATCAATCTTTTAGACCAGGAATTCGATGAGCTTTGAAGCTCTTTTACCACAGATGTCCAGTATGGGCGGGTCAGTATAATAACGTCAGCGGCTTGTCGCAGACGGTGCTTCCACATTGAGGTCAATCACTGCAACGATGTTGGTGTGTGGCTGAGAGCTGGACGTGGTGACTTCACCGTGTTCTGCCAAGGCGGGAACTTTGCGTATACGTTCATGTCGTGGAGGCGTGGATATACAGTCGTATACGGCTACGCGTTTAGGGCAAATTGCTGTGAGCGTTTTTAAATGTGCTGTTGAACATAAATTAGTGATAACAAAATATATTTACACCGTATCTATAAATACGTAATCCCAATTTTAGCTGTGGTATACATAGCGACGTTTGGGGCCCTGTAGAATATATAGGCGTTTTGATTGCGTTAAGGCAGTGCAGTGATATTTTTTTAATCTGTTGTGCATTTGTTTTATCTGCCAGAATGGCAATGGAGTTGTACATTTTACAATGATTGTAATGAGTGGGTGGGTGGGGGGAAGATGGGAATGTTCGGGAGGTCGGGTGTGGGTTATTTTTTGTCTTTTCCGGTTAAATTCCTTTTTTTTTGCGCCAATTGTTGGATGACGCCAATGAAACATCAGGTTGATATTGTTTTGTTCAGAGCCGATGAACGGATAAGCATTGTTTGCAAACAAAGACTTGAATATGTACAGTATAGATATATTTACACAGTGATCGTTTTTGTTTCCCTGCCTTAACTTTTGTACGTCGTGTACCCGCACACAAAGCCATCGACAGGGCAGTGTCACCTCTGCATGTACACAAACGAGATGCGGCTCGGAGGCCTGGAGAAGAATGGATGTATTGTCTGCATAATTTCCGCTATAGCAGCCCTTTTTACCACTAATTACGAGCCAAATTGAGAAATCAATTTTACAAGGGCGATATCTTTGGGTGTGTAACGATGCATCAATTCATAACATGAAATTATTCTAATCCTTATCTGTACAGATATCAAATTACGAGTGTCCGTATCGATTATTTAACGATTTGTGACTTGCATACAGAGGCCATTACGTAGCCGAATAGTAACGCGTTTGCCACTTGTTGCTGAGGTTTGTGGTTGGAATTGAGCAGACCGCCCTAATTATTATTGCAGATATGTTTTTTTCTGCTTCAACAGTGGACGTTAAACTTATCGTAATGTAATTAGAAACGCATAGGGAATTGTGTGCTGCAAATGGCTCGGGTAGGATGATACGTGGCAACCATCGCCCGAGACTGGCAAACTTGTCCACTTGCACGGCGCTACCCAGTTGCCTTGCGCCACACTTTGGCATTTGCCACTGGGGGGGAGGGAGGCGGCGCTCTGCATACGTTTCAGTTTAGATTGTCGGCGCTTTCAGTTGCCGAGGCATTTTAAGCGCCATATAAATGCGAAGATCATGGTTATTAATGTTACGCCGAGGGCCATACCTGTACAATCAAGTGAAACATGAGCATACATAAGATTTTTAAATTGACAAAGCGATTCCCTGAATTGAATCACGACGCCAAATCGTGACAATTGAATCTGGGAGATGAATCGTTACACGCCTATGCGCTTTCTAAAGGAGACACGTGTACTCCTTGCAATCACGTGGTTCTCGGCTTATAAAACAAGGAACCTATTGCAAGGTGCTTAATACGATCCCATTCTGACATTAATATCTTATTGCAGAACCTTTGTGACTGCTCCTCGTGTGTGTCATGGAGACGGGGTCATGGGGGTGTGATTAAGGGCCAGCCAATCAGACGCGAGTGTTCAGTCGGAGTATATAAACCAATGACGGGCATATTCTTTGGGTCTTTCGGTAAAGTCACGTAGATAGGTTCAAAGAAATTTACAAAAAACTACGACGTTTCGATCACAACATCGTGATTACGATCACAACATCGTGATTACGATCACAACATCGTGATTACGATCGTTTGTGTTGTGATCGAAACGTAGTTTTTTTTGTTATTTTCTTTGAACCTATCTCCGTGACTAGACCCAAAGAATATGAATTCCTGCAGTCACGAAAGCTTTAAGTCAAGATTCAGTGATGGGCAGTGGC